GTGGCTGGCATCTTCAGAGGACAGCACTCTGTGCTCTGGTGTCCTCTGCTGTGCTCTGGTATACCTCTGAAGATGCAGGCCACAGAGACTGGTGAAACGTTAGGAAGAACAACCTTCAGAACATGGCCAAAGAGCCCAAAAAACCCACAACAACCATTTCCTGGATGATAATTACTTCTTCAGACACGTGATTAGTGCGTGGAAAGCTCTCACTGAATAAACTTTTGTTAGGCTCAGATGCCACCATAATTTAATTTAAGCTATAAAAGAATAACATAGCTAATTGTTATGTGCTACCAGTCACTTCTGCATTAATGGTGACCCTATGAGTTAAGGACATCTGAAAGTTCCTATCCCTAAAAAGCTCTTCCTCAGAGCTTGAAAACTAAGGGCTGTAGTTTTCTTTTTTAAATGAAACCATCTTGTGTTCAGTCATCCTCTTTTCCTACTACCCTCCATTCTTCTTAGCATCACCATCTTTTCCATAGCTGTGATTTACAGTTCACTGTAATATCTCAACGTTTTACCCTGGGTGACCCTATGAGGCGAATCTCGCCCCTTGATGGTATTATTCGCAGCATCCCTGACATGCTCAAAACCCTTCACTATTTAACGCTGTCAGTCCCAGAGAACTAACATTGTTATCTCCCTGGAAAAATATATTCCAGGGGGTTTACTCCCGAGTAATTATATTTTCAGCCTTATTAATGGTACGTTCATGCCCCATGGCACCCAGCGAGCCTAATTCCTGAGTACACATGCCTGGAGCTGCAGTGTTTCTCATGAGGCCGAACGATGGCGACTAGTAAAGCATGTCCAAACAACCCACCGTTTCCATCAAATTCAGCTGTACACACCGGGCAAGGGAGCTCTGTGGCACCTCAGCCCGCCCGCCTCCTCGCTGTGAGCCGCCCCATTCTCCGGTCCTCGGCACTCAGTACCACCAGCTACCCTGACTGCAATGCAACCACTCACTCCCCACAACACAACGACCGTTTTCTCCTCTTATTTTGTCTCTCCTTCCCCGTCTCCCCCTTTCCCTGCTCTCTCCCCCCGAAGCTCCACCCTCCCGCCTCAGCTTCGTCTACGGCCAGCCACGGTTTCTGTAGCGACTGACAGTCGGCTCCAGCGCGGAATACTGATTGGCGCGTTGCTGTCATGTGACCTTGAACGAGTCTGCAGGGCGCCAAATTCAAACAACTAAGAAGAAGCAGGATATATCGATCAAAGGGGAGATTGGGGTCGGTTCTCTCCCTTCTCCCTCACCCAGGAAAGGGTGTGGCTTGCGGTGTGTGACCCCCCCGCACCGGAGTTTCACCGACAGCTGTGCTCCGCCGGTTCCGCCGTTGCAACAAGAAGCGGTGAGAGAAGAGGAAAGGGGGCGCTCAAGGGCGCAACCGTATCAGCAACTTGCTAGAGTTGCATCGCGGGGGCTGTATGCGTGCAAGGGAGGAGGTGGGCAGTAGAGAGGCTGGTGCTGAAAAAGACGGATCCATCTCATAGTGCTTACCCGCAAGTCAGTTGGTTTCAGAAGGGCGTTCAATTCAAGGTCAAAGCAACTGAGACTCTTGCAGCATCTTAAAGACCAAAATATTTTGTTTGGCACAAACCTTCCAGGGCTATAACTTCTTATGTAGGTACTGACGCTATTCTTGGTGCATCTGAAGAAGTGGGCCATAAAAACGTATGCCAAGAAAAACTCATTGGTTTTTAAGGTGCCACAAGACTCTTGTCAGTTTTACTTTAACAAATCAACACAGCTACCCTGTGGAAAGCAATTCAAGGTATAGACTTCCTGATCAGATCTATCTATGAGAAAGCCAGCATAGACAAGACACAGAAGTCCACCTACTGTTTTGGTTTGCAACAGTGTAATCTGATACAGAGCAATTCCCACACAGTTCTAACCAATGTTCTTGGGTCTGCTTTTTAAACAAAGTGCCATCTGTCTTGCTGGTGGATGACAGTGCCTGGCCAATACTAATCTGCATTAATTGACATCTAATTTAAGTCAAAATGGAGTATGTCATTGTGCAAGCCTTGATTTGTCATGTAATAAAATAATTCAAGCTCATTGGGAAAGTAATCTAAATTGGTCCTGCTAGGCTATGAAAGGAACAAAACTGACTGGATGTTTTTCATAGTGAAAGATAACAGATCACTTTACACTTGCAATGCGCAGACACCATGCAAAAGAAGGCAGAGATATTTTCTTTGAACCAGTACTGTAGTGTACTTTAAAAGGCAGAAACTGACAGTTTGTTGAAATTGCAGTTATACTATGTATCTCTAAACCTGGACAAGACTATTTTGTAGCAGCACAGTTGGTATTAATGGAAACCTGTAGTATACTGGTATTTGTTAGTTTTCACATGACTTCTCGAGCTGTCTTTAATTTCTCCAAGGAGAAATTGGGTCTCAAGCATGTGAAATGAATCATAACTTTGACGCACTGAATCCATCCATGCTTACTTGGAAGCCTGTTGAATTGGGAGCGGGGGAAAGCTTTCTTCTGAGTGTACATAACGCAGAACAGGCTGCATGAGAATTCAGTGTTTCCTATGCATTATCTCAGTGAGCCATAAAATACCCCCGCAAAGGAAATGCGGTAAGCTGTTTTTCCCATACTGTACATGAGTAAGCTACAGCCAAAGAAAGACTGCATTGTCTAATGTAAGAAGGGAAGGGGCCACAACCAAGAAAGCTCAGTTCAAAGTTTTGGCTTCTTTTGTTCTCCTTGGGTGTTACAATTCTTAACTTCAAGGACTGCGCGTGGGATGGGTATCTATTTTGTGGGAAGTACGTTCTACCAAATATCAAGGTCCTAAACTGTTATGGGCTTTATAGGTTATGACCAGAATTTTAAATTGGGCACAGAAAATAACAGAGCCAATGAAGGTGTGCTAAGACTGGGGATATGTGTTCATATCTGTGGGTACCTGGAATCAATCTGGTTGCCACATTGTGGACCTGCTGAAGTTTGTATACTAACTTCAAGGGCAGCCCTACCCTGTTTCCCTGAAAATGAGACCTAACCTGAAAATAAGCCCTAGTATGATGTTTCAGGATGCTTGTAATATAAGCCCTACCCCAAAAATAAGCCCCAGTTAAGTGAAAGCCCGCCCTCCACCATCGTGCAGCAACCAGATAATGTGACTGTATTTGAATAAACGTAGATTGTGCATGAAAAAAATTAAGCATCCCCTGAAAATAAGCCCTAATGTGTTTTTTGGAGCAAAAATTAATATAAGACCCTGTCTTATTTTCAAAGAAACAGGGTACATAAAGAATGTTATAATAGTCAATTTTAGAGATTACCACCACATGAACAACTATTGTTAGGCATTTCTTATCTAGATAGGTGCACAGCTGGGCAATTAACCAAAGTTGATAAAAGGCACTCTTGGCCACAGCAGACATTTGCACCTCCATAGAGAGTGCTGGGTCCAAGAGGACTCCCAAGCTGTGAACCATATCCTTCAGGGGTAGTGTAACTCCATCAAGGCCAGGTAACTATCTCTAATCAGTCCAGTGATTCTCCCAGCAGCAGGATGTTCATCTTATCTGGATTCAGTTTCAATTTATTGATCCACATCATGTCCATTATTAATGCCAGGCAACGCTTAAGGGCCTGCACAGTGTCACCTCCAGATGAAGTATATCATCCATGTACTGTATTAATGACAATGAACTCCAAATCTCTGCAGATGAAGTATATCATCCATGTATTAATGACAATGAACTCCAAATCTCTGTATGACTTCTCCCATCTTGTAATACTGATGAGAGCAGGGTTGCATGCTCCTTATTTCAAAGACTCTATAGTCCTACTCTTTCTTTTCCTCATCTCTTCTATTTTAGTTTCTTCTTGTCTCATTTCTGCAATGTTGATTTTGTTCTGTCCCATTTCTGCAACATTTTATGATTCTTTTTAATAGTTTCCATTAAAATTAATTCACTTTTCTATGTGCATTTTTTGTGACACAGGCACTTCTGTACATAGTTTGGCATAATATAAACTTCAGCCATTACATGTCATAGATATAATACTGCCTTTTACTTGATGTTTTAGTACTTGTCACTGTCACTCAGTATCTAGCAGGCATGGGAAATATGTTGACCTCACAGCGGTCTTGGGCAGTAATCCCCATCAACCATGATCTATCTAGCTAAGAACGAGAAATAATGAGATTTCCAGTCCAACAACATTTGGAGGGCTACATGCTCCCCATCATTGGTACAGAGAGAGATTCTGTGAACATGCTCCGGATGTTGTGATTTCATGTCCCAGGGCCAGATTCTGGGACAGAAAATAGATGAGGGCCCATATTTTGCAGGCATAAACGAAAACAGGAAAGCAGCGAAAACAGGAAAGCAATACAGTACCTTGCAGGCATAAATTAGTGTTTCCCTCATAATATTTAAAATCCTGAGATGTTCAAATGGGCTTTAATTTGTGTATTTTTATTTAAAAGTAGTTTCAGCTAGTGATAGGATATAATTGTATTTCAATGTAATTTTTGTATTTACTATATAGTGTTCTTATGTATTTATTGCATATTGTAAACTGGCCAGAGAGTGGCGACTCTAATGGGGAAATGGAAATAAATAAAAGAAAATTCACCTCTAATTTTAGTTTATTCCATTATCCATTTGCTGTGGTTGGTATACAAAATCTATAATAGTTTCCTGTAAAGGTGACAAACTTTTCATTTATTTCTAAGGAAATGTGTAGTTCATTCACACCAGTCCTTAAGGTTTTCTGTTCTTTATCTCATTCCTGAATAAATTATAATTCTAACAGAAGTCTTTTCCTTAACCTTCAACTTCTCACAAAGACATGTTGCAGTGAAAGCAACAAAGGCCCCTTATTATTCTGGCATAGTATTATAATTATTAGAAGAAACTTTTGTTGACTAAAATCCAATTCATCTGATGAAGTTTATGTCTTAATATACGTTATTCTTTAATATGCCACAAGACTCCATGTCACTCTTGTTTCAGCTCTGGAAAGATAACTTCAAAAAAGCTTCATCTAATCTTCTAGAGTCAGGCAAAAATGTATCTTTTATCTTTTGCCTTATTGATGATAGTAATCATCACTAGGCAAATGCTACTCAAGTGTTTTTCCAACTATTTTAAGGTCTCCTTCATTCTGATACTTTTTCATTTTCACAAACCTGAAAATAATATTATTAAAAATCTTTATCACAAACATAAAATATTTTAATCCTTCACAGATCTTTCTGCTTCAGCAATTATGGCTACTACTCACTGAATAGCATAAAAAGGAGGAAGAACACAATCATATGCTATACCACCTTTTCCTGTTATATCAAGTTGTAACTTATGTGTCAAATTGTACATGCTCCTTGATGAACACGTTAATGATAAGATACCCTTTGCAATATTAGAAAAATATTAGAAAAACAACCATTAGAAAAATTACAAAAAAAAATCTAAATCAATACATTGGATTTTTGCCATCCTTATATAAATTCCTCTAGCAGCAGCGAAAACAGGAAAGCAATACAGTACAGATCCCTCTGTTAAAAGCAATTTATTATCTTTTAGCAACAAATATAATACTAACCAGCAATGCACAAGTCCTTCTTTTGGCAGCAAAATTATATTTGCCAGTAGTATACAGAGTTTCTAAGGACAACAAGAAAACACGACACGAAAGCTTTGTAAAATAATTGTGTTGGATTCTGAAATCACCTCCTGCAGAGGGTAGGCTCTTTATCTCTGCAAAAGGCTACTGATTCAGAAGAGAAATTTCACAGAAGAGGCAGTTTTTATTCATTCCCACTTCCACCTACAACCCCTTCAAAAAGGAGGGAGCAGGAATCATTGAAAATCTTGCTCTAGCAGCCAGAGTAGTCTTGGCAGAACTCCACTCTCTGAAAATGCTCCTACTGATCAGAACAAACCCAAGCGCTGCCTTTCACCAGCGTGCTTCAACATTCTCCACTGCCTGACATGAAATCATAGACATCTCCTCAAAGGAACAAAAAAATCCTTTCTATTGCAATGTTGGAATAGAGCAATACCATGGTTGCCTCAGAAAGGGGGCGGATAATAAAAGAGTCTGGACCTCATCTTCTGTTGCAAATTTGTACATTTGCTGGTTTATCCAAAGCAACTATGTTTGTTTCTGTGTAAACTGCAAGTGCTCTGACTTTCCAGAAGAATTGTGTCTAAATAGCAACACTTCACACACTACTGGAACAAAAGTGGGAGTTTAGGTGAGGAAAGAAATAGATATAGAGTACCTCAGGAGTTTGTGCTATAAGTCTTCTGCTACTGCTACTTCTGCTTCTTGACCTAGTTAGTACTAATAAATGTGCAGATTTTCAATCATTTTTAATGATTGAAAATTATGCATTTATTTAATCTATTTAAATTATTTTTTTACTCTTCCTTTTTTCCTTAAAACAACCCAAGGTGGCTTTTAATTATTATAATTATTTCTCAAGATACATGCTTGCCATTTTTCAGAATCACAGCAAATTGCTTAAGGCATTTATCTGTTTTTTGCTGAGGGAGAGGATGCCTTCATGACTATGATTCCCAGAGAAATCCATTTTAATAGCACAATCAGATTTTTCAAGGAGTTTCTGAAGGGAATCAATATCGAGCAACAATAAGATTAAAAACAAAGCTTGTTGAAAAAAATGGAAATAACCTAAGTATAGTGTTTATGTACTGATATCACAATTTCAATAAGAGTATAAATGTGAGAACTTTTGATGGACTGCACTCTTGTTCTTTAAAAAATAATTAACATTTCATCATAAATATTTCAGTTTAATTGTTATAAATGCAGAAAAACTTAAAAAATGTAATTAAATCAGAAGTGAGCAGCTTTAGTGGGAAAGCAATAATTTATTGTAACTCATGAACACTGTGTAAATTAATGGATTGGTTAGAAGATCTTGTAGTCACAATTATCCAGCACCCCTGCTTCATCATCAGTTATGTCAAGGGTAATCCGGATTAATGAAATCACCAGTTCATGCTCAATATATTTTTACAATGGCTGCAATCCAATAGTAAATCACAACTAGATTAAGCCCATTGAATCAGTTGGGATTTGGTTAACTGATTCCTCTGTACATTCTATTCATTCAATGGACCTACTCTGCTTATGACTTACTACTGGATTTCAGCCTATATAACCAAACTGTAACACTCCTAATTTTCAAAGGAAGGGTTTTAATCGCATTCTGAAGACTTTTATGTGATATGGAAAAGCTTCCATCACTTTGAAGTAAGTATAACCTCCATGGAATGTTGGGAGTTCCTACTGGTTGACCTCTGTAACTGCTACAGAGAGGCCACGGCTGGACAGGTGTTATTTGTCGAAGAGGATCTTGGTGAGGCTGGAGTTCATCTGTAAGTTTTTTGTGTCTCTCTGTGAGAGGATAATTACTCTATAAATAGTGACTTCTCAGTCTGACTCCATTGGGAAAAAGCTTCCGTTGTAGTTATTCCTGGATATCTAGGCCTTATTTCTGGCCTTTAGAGATGAAGCAAACGCATGTGCATCTCTGTGGTTACCAGTTAGATCTGATCAGTTACTTCTGTTTTTATTGGACTAGCTTGAAGGATTATTGATTTCAAGAACTGTTTCACAGATTTTTGAGTTGTGGCTAGTGCTCACTCTTGCTCTCTCTGTTTGTGTGTCGGATTGGACTGAAAAGAGTTTCTGTTTTTTCATGACCTATATTATTTTCAGTTGGGTTCAGCTCCCCAACCTCTAATTCCTGCGTAGCAGCGAACTTGCCTATGCCATTTAAAAAAATACAACTAATTATTAAGTAGAGCCATGTCAAGCACAGCTGATGTTTATGTTTTATATCGCAGTCTGTATTTTAAAAATAGTGCATAGTGAGTGGAAAGGTGCAATAAAATTAGTAAGTAAATAAAAAAATAATTTTCTACAATCAGGAATGAAGTACCTTGTCATCATCGTCAACCTTCTTGATTTATGTTTTGTCAGCCTTCATGATTTAAGAGTATATTCTGTGTTTATATTTTTCACTTTTTCCTGATTTATTGTAATATTCTTTGAAAACTAGGAACACTCTGATTTTCCTTTTTATTTTTGTGCCTGGAATTTTTTTTAAAGCCTCATTTTCTAAACAGCCTTAGATGATTGGGCAAGTGTATATCACCATAACAATACTCCTAGATCTCACCAAAGATCTTTCTAGACGAGCACCCTACTTCTCACAGCAGGCAACTAGATTCTTCCAAGAAATCCATAAACTGGGCTATAGTCTCTTCCGGTATTGCTCTAACAAATCAAACTTGGAATCATACTACTTCTAAAGCTGGAGGGCACATACTGAATAGTAGGCAATTTTAGCCATTTCTGAGTGCTAACTTATTGCCTACATTTAATTCCTACATAAAGTTATAGTATAGGAAACTAGGCAGCTTACTTTCAAAAGGCTCTGTAACAATACATCATTTATGCTCATATTTATACTCTGTGTTTTGTAGAATCTGACCTTCTGTTATCGATGGAGATCGAGTGCACTGGTCAAGGATGAAGAGCAGCCCCCACAGGCCCCTGATTCTCAAAAGACGGAAACGGTTTCTCCCACAGGGTGATTCATCTAGCACCCTGGTAAGAGATGAACCAAATGGTGGCTCTCCTAAACGAAAACAGGCAAGAACCAATAGGCATGACACAAAAATACAAGACTCTGAAATTCAGGATGTTCTTCCAGGAATTAAGATCATTAATGACTCTACCATGCCAAATGCACAGGTAGTGACTATTCCTCCTAATACAGACATCCAAAACATCCTTGAGGCTCTGACATCCAAAGGAAAAGAATCACACAATAATGAGCCTAACAAGTTTATTCACATCAGTAGTGATATCAGCTCCATCGCGATGCAGACAAGAACATTTAAAAATGAAACCAGATCCACAGATGAGCACTATGCTGCCAATAATGGAGCACTGAAAGAAGAAAAGTACATTGGCCAAAACTTTGGGACAACAGGAGCATCAACATTTTGTACCTCGGAGTCACTGCCTATGGGAGAAGAAGAACTGGAAGGAAATGGTATGTAGATTTTTTTTCCTCCCTTGTGAGACATGTAAATTTTGCTCAGAGAACTCATCACCTAGTTATTATCTTTTGGAGCAGGAAACCACAGCTGTAACTTCTATAACACAGAGCACTTTTGTTTTGCAAAGTTTAGCATTTTCTCAGCTTCATATACATCCTTAATGCTAAGGTTTTATAGTTCTCAAGCTTTAAGATTATATGACATTCCTATATATCAGTGATTTCCAACCCAGGGGTTCTTGGATTGAAATTCCCAGAAACCCTAACCAGTACAGCGGCTGGTAGTGAAGGCTTCTCAGAATTGCAGTCTAAGAACCCCTCGGTTATCCAAGGTTGGAGACCACTGCTATATAGCCAGTGGTTTGTACAATTTTTCAACTGGAAAGAACCACATGTTAAACTAATGTATATGTCATGGCTTATCTCCACATTATTAAAAGGAAACATCACAATTTCTTATGGTATCTCACAGAATATGGCACAAAATACAAGCTCAAATCCAGTACGTAGTTAAGTCATAACTAGAGCAGGCCCGGTGAAGCAATGGAAGTGACAGAGGACGTGACTCACCAAATCACTGCTGATTCAACAGGCCTACTCTAGTTGTGACTTACTACTGGGTTTTAGTCATATACTGGTGCATGATCATACAGTGTTTTTAGACGGATATCTGTATCCAAGATGCAATGAATTATCTGCCGTGTGAAAGAAATCAATTCTTGAAGTAGCCAATTTCTGGTCAAAAATAATCAAAAATATCTTCACATTTTAATTTGTTTTTAATTTTACCTATATTTCAGGTACATCCATAATTTTAAATTGTGCAACATCCTGATACCAATAACAAAAAGCAACAGCGGATATGCAGTAAAAAACATAATGTTTTCCTTCAGGATATGATAAATCATTTACATAACCATTTCATTTCAATTCACTGCATGAAAATATTGGTAATGAGCCATATCTTGTTTTTAAATTCAACCATGTGTTTAATCTGATCTTTAACACTATAATAAACAATATACCAATGTCCTCACTGTTCACAAAGTTAATTAAAATCCAAAACATGGTGATATCTACTGTGAAGAAACATGACTTGAAACTTAACTGAACAAGTCCAGGACTCCCCTGACCTCCGAGGCAAGGCAGGCCCCAACTGCTCCTTCTAACTTATGCCCCAAAAATGAAGGCATTCACTTCTTCTCCCCTAACAAGGACTGAGGCCTCTGGCCTAGCATCTTAAAGGGGCAGTACACAATAAACCGATTCCTATGGGAGGCAATATTAAGTAGTGTATATTCTTCTAAAACCTAAAGTAAAGAACCATAAAGAGAAATTTGAACATGTTCTGTTGCAAAGATCTTTGCCAACAGGATTTAGTAAATTCAGATCAGTCCTCTGAAAACCAGAAGCTGTCTTTTATTCACACTGATGTCTATTTTTCACACCACTTGTATGAATGGCAATTTGTCTTGTGGCGGTCTCCACAAAGGGGTGCACATTATCTGTAACCTTAAACTTGGCACAAATAAAGAGGAGTGACACTGTATACAGTACTCCTATATTCTGTGTTCCTTGAAAAAAATATTATGTCTCTACTCTCTTTCCAAAAGACTTACACAGTTCCCCTTGCGCTGGAATGTTTAAAACTTCCCATTTTGGATGAATAATTATAAATAATTATAAAATTGTTCAGTTTCTTTAAATTTTTGAAATAACTAAATATCAAAAATGGGAGAAGCTGTAATTCAATAGAAGGAAAAAGCATATTTACATCTTATTGAGAAAAATAGCATGCCGCTATTGATGAGATCCAGATAAAATACAGTATAAGGAATTTTATATCTCTGTTGAGAGCAATGGGTGTGTGGGTGCGTGTTTGAACTACAACAGTTGTTGTTCCTTTTAAATGAAGTGGACAGGAAAAAATATAGTGGTGACATGAAACTAGAGGCATTCTCAAAAAGACCTGTCATTCTTGAATATGAGATTATCCCCACAAGTATATATTCTTAATGGTGTTGGCTATTGTAATTTAATTTTAATTTTGTATGATGATCAGTTCTCTAAATACTAAGACTTTCTAGAGAGTCATGAATGTCTACTACATCACAAATTAGATCTATATACTGTATATAATTTGCCACAACAGGAGGGAGTACAGTGGAACCTCTACATACGAATGTCCCTACCTACGAATGATCCAATTTACGAACAGCTCCAGCCACAAAATTTTGCTTCTACTTATGGCTGGAGCTTCAAGAAGCGAACGAAAAAGGCAGGGAGAAAGGGCAGGAAATTCAAATCGTTGGTGGTGAAGAGGCTGCTTCTTTGTAGTTCTTTCACCCCAATGGTTAGGAAAAGGGAGGCTCAGCCTCCCGGGCTTCCAGCACAGCTGCTACCGCCGCCAGGAGGCACCGCTGGACCATCCCAGCTGGGTTCAGCCTCCTGGGCTTCCAGCACCACCACGGCAGGCTTTCCCGGGGTTCGCTCCACTCGCCACCTTTCTCCACCGCAGCGTGGCTTCTCCACCGCTATGGAAGGCTTTCCTGGTGCTTGTCCCAATCGCTGCCTTTCTGCACCGCCATCTGCTGCCGGGCCAGGGTTTCCGCGCTGCCGATGGAGGCATTCCCAGGGTGGTAAAGCAGCCCTACTGGGGGAAGCCCTACCCTGGTATGGCCGGTCTACCACCCTGGGAAAGTCTGCATAGGCAGCGTGGAAACCCTGGCCTGGCGGCAGAGAAAGGCGGCAATTGGGACAAGCCCCAGGAAAGACTCCCATGGCGGCAGAGAAGCCGCACAGCGGGGGAGAAGCACGGCACTTGCGGCGAACCCCGGGAAAACCTGCGGTGGCGGCAGAAAAGTCCTGGCCCTGCAGCAGTGGCTGGAGCCCGGGAGGCCTCCTGGCAGCAGCGGTCACAATAATGGAGGTACAGTGCTGCTTTTTAAAAACTGTTTTGGGTGGCTTTTGCAGAGTGGGATTGGGCTGGTGGATAGATAGATAGATAGATAGATAGATAGATAGATAGATAGATAGATAGATAGACAGACAGACAGACAGACAGACAGACAGACAGACAGACAGACAGACAGACAGACAGACAGATATTTCTTTGGCTGGAACGGAGTAATGGATTCCTATGGGAAATGGTGCTTCTACTTATGAATGTTTCAACTCACAAACGTTTTCCGGAATGGATTAAGTTCATAAGTAGAGGTACCACTGTATAGTGTTATTTTAACCACAAGCTGGATTGTTTACCGAAGATTAAATATCCAAGTCAACTGAAGAGAGAGGAAAGAAAAGAAAGAGATGGATGTACAAGGAATTAAGTGCAGGGAATGTTTTGTTATGTTATTGATGTTGGGTAGGTAAGAGTTCTAATAGTCTCATGCAATGTTTTATATTGTTAATAGTTATCTTTCACTTAAACATCATATTCATGTTTGCAAATGCACTAGCTTTGGAAGGCAGTACTAATAAGTAAATTTTTGACATCCGTACATTTAAAGTGGTATGCAAATAAGTGGTAAGAAACGTTTCAGGAGCCTGATTTCTGCAAATTGCAATGTTTTTCAAGGAAAGAGCAGCTGTGAATAGGACTGAGTGGTATGAAGTAGTAAATAAAACTGAGTTGTTTTGGAGTCCTTCTGTCTCCTCTATTCCGTGCTCCATGAACCCCATTTTGGACCTTTCTAGAGCTACTCAAGTCTTGGGAATGTGGCTGAAAGTAAATCAGGTGCCTGACATGATGAAGGATGTGTATATGTGTATGCGTATTGCACCTCCTCCGCTCATGGGTTTGCTTTCATTCACATCCCTAACACTTGCAACTGGCTGCAAGATATTTTGATTTGTGAACTTTGCCTGCTCATAGAAAAAGCTAGAAGCCTCTTTTGGAGATCTAAGGACGCAGGATGAGGATTTTAACTTTCTACCCATCTAGGCAGTGAAGAGACAGCTGGTTCTGACTTGGATAACAGTCTGACAAACATCCAGTGGTTGGGCAAGATGAGCTCCAGCGGACTGAGCCCTTGCAATGTGAAAAAAGAAACAGAGAAGGAGAACCAAACCCCCAAGCAGAAAACAGCAAAGGTAAGCAAAGATCATAGCCAAGCAAAGCCTATCAAGTGTGGTCCGTGCACATACATATGTATGTGTTCAGGATGCCAGATTACAATTCGGGGATTTCCCTCATGTCTCTAAATTTGCTGCTGTGGTGCTACCTAAAAAAAGAAGGCAATAAAAATTCCTCCCATGTTTTTCTTCCCATTTTGTTTGGTCCATTTCCTTCTACCTACTCCAATAAGCAGGACTTGTGGACAAGAGGCAGAGAACATTACCACATAGGAAACATGGTGGAGAAAAATGGCCACTGTGCCTCCTCCAGAGGCTGTGAAGAAATTAAAAGTGAGGTTCTCTGAAGTAGAATCCAGCAATTCTGTGGAGATGAGAAGCTTCTTTGGAAGCTGGTTCAACAGTCAGTAATCTAAGGGTTGAGAAAGCTGTGAATTCACTGTGATCAAATCTTTCATATGACCACTTAATTCTTAATTGTGGTTTCAAAGACAAAAATGTGAGTTAGCTGTTCCTAGTCTCTCATTCTGCACAGGCATATGCTTTTCTGACTAATGTATTCCTCACCCTAATTTTTCTGCTCAATTAATGCTTTAAGTGTTTGACCAACCAACAGCTACCCATATCCTCATCAGAGATTCAATGTTTGAATACCATGAGGCTCTTTCTGGAATATTCTACAATCCTTCTATCTTTCATAATGCCTTATCTTCTTTTTTGCTTGCAAGGTTGAGGAAGAATCTGCAGCTCCCTCCTCCTCTTCTTCATGGCAAGAATCTTTCCTAGAACGTCCCCCTTACTCTTATATGGCCATGATCCAGTTTGCCATCAATAGCACTGAAAAGAAGTGCATGATGCTGAAAGACATCTACACCTGGATTGAGGATCATTTCCCCTACTTCAAGCATGTAGCCAAACCAGGGTGGAAGGTAATGAATCTTTTGGACTGTAATGTTTGCATGAAAAAATCACAAGGAGGAAAAGCTTTTTATACAGATAGTTCCACCCTTCAGAGGCAATATTTCCATCCAATATATACTCTGCACTGGGGGGAAGAGACTTAGAATGCTGATTGAAATAAAATGGAATTCTAAAACTTTAATTAGTTGTGCATTTTGATGTATTTTATATAATTTCTGATTTTGCACATTTTTGTTTTTAATATTTTGAATAGTTCCTCTGGGTTTGCTACCATGAGGAGGGACAAGGAGTTGCCCTACCCCACTCCTCTGACCATCAATTTCAACAGGCATTGCCCACAATTATACTTATAACATATTTTAACATATTTTATAGTCTCAAGAGTAGAAACCTGGGTGTCTTTGTTTTATTGTTGTTGTTAGCAGTTGTGATTCTCAGGAAGGTGTATCCTCCTTCCTTTATCCTCTTACTATACTGCAGCATTACCACATGCTCCGGCAGATGAACATTAGCCTGATATGAACAGTTTGCTTTCTAGCTCATTGCATTATTAATCTGTGAAAGAATATAGCACTCGCAGTGGGCTTGATGTCTTCAGTAAGCACATGACAATATGTCAGAGTTCTCACATTCATGGGCCACTGCTGTTTTGTGTACAGTATTTAAAATATTTTTGGCATAGATTTCTGAAGAGGGCAGAGTATATGTAACAATTAAATGTGTAAGGTTGACCTGTTTAATTGTGAAAACTCCAAGCAATTTCCAAGTCATTATGACACCACATACAGTATGCATTGCTTGATCATTTAGTATCTGAGTGTCCCAGTGGAATGGGTTAAGTGCATTGAATGGTGGTTGAGATGATCAGATTTCTTTGTGTGTGCTGCTTTACCTGTCATGGTTCTTTTGCATTTACCGACTATCTGCCATGGAGTGATACAGTATATATGTCCAAACTGAAAAATGTATGGTTACAATTATGTAAGAAATGGTTACCAAAATTATCAAAATTACCTCTCAGGAAGAAGCATTCTCCTTTAGCCTTTTCCTTGTGTATACAGTTAGTTTTTCCTTGCTGGGGAAGAATTCACTTGTAAAGTTGGATAGTTAAATGTCTCGCTGCCTCCATCAGCTGATAGTATGAAATAGATCAGGAATGAGGAATGTGTAGCTTTTCTGATGTTGGCAGACTGCAGCTCCAAGAAGACAGTATAGCCAACAGTGAGAGCTGATAGAAGTTGCAAACCAACAACATCTGGAAAGCCACACTTTCACCACCATGAACTAGACCATATATGTATGGTGTGGATTTGTAAAAGTTTGTCACAGATATTATGACTTTTCAGGAGTATAATTCACAAGTGTTTTGTAACTGAACATAGCAAAAGTTTCTCTTCTCCTACCCAGAACTCCATACGCCACAATCTTTCCCTGCATGATATGTTTGTTCGGGAGACATCGGCCAATGGCAAAATTTCCTTCTGGACCATTCATCCTGAAGCCAACCGCTATTTGACACTGGACCAAGTCTTCAAAGTAAGTAGCTTCCATGTGGAAAAGAAGGGTGATGCTCTAATTCCTGATCTCTAAAACACCTGTCTATTTCCATGTTGAGGAGGGAGGTGAAACCTAGCTGGTAGGAAGCTAATGTTATATAGGACTAAGGGGAGTGTTTATTATTGGGATTTGTTGTCGTCGTGTGCTATCAGGCCAGACTCATAGTGAATGTTATAGGGTTTTCATAATGGGACACAGAAGGAGCCTCTCTAAAGAGTGGGAAAGCATTGTGAACACGCTCAGGTGTCCCCTGGGCAATGGCGTTCAGGCAACAAATCTTCACTTCCCAAAGCGTTGCACTAGAACAGCACCAAACCCACCCACTTCATGGATGTCAATCCTCTGGATGACAGCTGAAGCTGAGGAAACGTTTGTGCACACCTCTCAAGCTCTGACCACTTCTTGTCAATATAGTATGGATGTCTTGATATTTTAATTGTTTTATTTTTATTTTGCCTATATTTCATGTGTGTCTATGATTTTTGATTATGCAAAGCTCTGATACAAATACAGAAATATGGTTTTCAAGCTAAATGAGTTATTTAAGGAGGGTTTTTTTAAAATCAGTTCTACTCCCCAGTAAGTTTTCATGACAGAGCCAGGGAGTCAGACCTAGGTCTCCTGAGTCCTAGTCCAGTCTTCACTCATTTTCTCTGGCCAATCGTCATTTCCATCCCAGGGAAGAAGGAATTTTTTTAAAAAAAAAAATCTTGCTATCATTTAAGTCTACACTTTTAAAAGGCCCTCAGACAGGGAGTCTGGAACGGTCTTCTGAAGTGCTAGCGTTCAGGTTTCTTGGCGTCCTGTCTTGCTGAGAATTGGCAGGTTGTTCTATAACTGTCTTCTTTGCCTGAACCTTTGTTTGTTCCCCTGCTTCACTGATTATTTCCCTCTCATTCCTTTTGTATGCCTGGCCATCACCAGCCGTTGGATGCAGGGCCACCAGTATCACCTGAGCTCTTGGAATCAGTAAGACCTCCCTTCCTGACTGGGGGATGGGGCTTCCTTCTTCCCTCTTTTTGTTGCTATGGATGTGAAAAAGAGGCTGCCCCTGTGGGAACTGAACCCAACCTGCAGCTTTGCAATTTTTCCCTTTCTTCCTCACATCTAGTGCTTGGGGATAGTGGAAGGCCAGGCTCTCATTGTCTGTAGCTATACTACTTACAGTGATGCTTAATGTTCATCCACATTGAATTGCTGTACGGACACAACAAAATAGCAGGTCAAGAGTGGATTTCAATTACTGTACTGTATATAATTCTTTTAGTACCAAAAATTATATAACTTTTTTTAGTACCAATAAATGCCTCTTAAGATGATTTCCATTGTAATAACTGGCTTAAGAATCAATGCAAGGTGGCATTTCAAGTAGTCCTGCCCCACCCCCAGGAGGGGGGATTCTTAATGTATCTTTCTAGAGCATTGTTGTGCAGCTGGCTGGGTTGAAGCTGGCAACTCTTTTCTGTGCCTAGTAATAGACCTGCAAGCAATAAACTGGTTTGATTCAGCCTGCTTCATTTTTCTACAAGCAACTCTACTTGTTTCTGTCACTGCTTCCTCTTCCTTTCTTCCTGTTGCTATGCAAACGCATGAGAAATGGGGCTGGAATGGCACACACGTCTCTATTTCTTCCTTGCTCAGGCAATGATAGACACTAAACCCAGCTTCCTAGCAAAAGAGCTCAGAGTTGGGCCACACCTGGCTCTGTGGGGCTTTTGGGTGGCATTCAGCAAGGACAGTGTACCTGCTGGCACCAGGGGCGAAGCTTGAGACTCAGCGCAGCACCCATATGACTGTGGCAGTGACGTACTCTGGTCTTGTTTAGCTTTACTCTTCAAGTCAACACAGAGCAACCAAGTGGAGTCGCTTCTAACTTGTCTTGTCTTGTCTGTTTTTCTCAACCCAAAAATGACGTAGCAGCAGAAACGGCACACCATGGATCTGCAAAAGAACGTGGGAGGCTCTAGTGGCAACAAAAGCGAGCCACGAACAGCTTGTGAGTGTTTACTCTGCATCACCGTAAAACTCAGGGGAAAAGACCAAACCTCTCATCCTTCAAACAAGAACCCTGCCCTCCAATGGGGTGTAATGGGTGGTTTTATGAGGAAAGTGCCTGAGCACATTGGTGGATTCAGTCCTGCTTGACCAGGACTGAATGATGATGTGAGCTTGAAAGTGGGAGCAAGCAGCCAACTGCAGTGGGGAGAAAAGACTAAGTCCCTTCTAAGGGCCAAGCAACAATCAGGGAGAAACTTCGAGGTAGAGTGGGAAGACTCCCAACAGAGCTTCAGAAATTCACCACAGCCAGTCAGTATATGCTCAGGGAGAACAGATCCTGCATCTCAGATTAAAGACCTCAGCCATAGCTGTCTTGCAGGTGGGAGAGGTGTCTTTTGAAAAGGGATGGAGACTCAATGTTGCTGCATGTTCTTAGCAACGTGACCAGGTAGCTGCTGGCTCTATATATATGATGCCTAGTGTAGCTCTGAGGGGGGTTATTTAACCAGAAGCATGGTGTGTAAGCCACAGATGTATGCACAGTGGCCTAAATTCAGTTGCTAGTTCCAACTGAAACTGAATCTGTAGGATTTACACAAGTATTGATTTACCACTCAGCAAGTGATTCTACAGGTCTGCTTTAGCTGGGATTAGCACTTGGGTTTAAATTTATATTCTTATTAACGGGAGAATAGCCATGTCCCAGATGGGTGAAAGTAGCTCAAGTAAAAAGTATAGATTTCAATTTTTTAAAAAAGAGTTTTGTCCTCAAAAACACACACAAGCACATTCATTACAGAAGTGAGAAACAACTTGTTTATTACACACACAACTTATGGGTCAATATTCCAGTTCTAGTAGATTAGTGGTTGAAAACCCTGGGTACATGTGCGGCCTGTGGAGGGGCCTTTCCTCCCTCCCCTCCCCTCCTCACAGCACAAGAGGCATTCTGTCTTGCATTTTATTGGTGTTAGCTACCCCATTTACCGTTTGTAGTGGAAATGTAAGGTGTAAATTTAATCAAGCATTAAAAAAATTTTTTAAAGAAAATCCACTGAACAGTCTAGTGCTGCCATTCCCAGAATTAATGAGAAATTACACAATCTGGGTGTAGGTTGTGAGGCTTCAGAAAACACAGATACTGTTGAATTGGAACTGTCTCAGTCCGACTATTGGATGAATGGTTCTTTGGGTGTCTGTGATCCTGTATTAATAGGTTTGTTTGTTTGTTTGTTTTGCATATTTTTATGCTGAGGACATGCATCCTCATTTGTGCTTTACTAGTCCAAGACTGAGCACAGGTCTGCCAAGATGTCTGCTTATGTCTCTGGCTACCAAGCTGATACAACTTTCCCCTTTCTAGGCCGAAAAATGAAGCCCTTGCTGCCACGTGTCAGTTCTTACTTGATTCCAATCCAGTTCCCAGTGAGTCAGTCCCTCCTTCTTCAACCGTCTTCAAAGGTTTCTCCGCCTACAGCTCAAGGTGCCTCTGAGAAGAAGAGCAGCAAGCAGGTGCTCATTGCTCCAAAGGTCAGTCATCTCAGAAGAACTGCAGGGGTACTCCAGTTTCATCTTGTCCCCATTAAGATTTCTTCTACACCCACGCATACCTGAGTTCAGTGAGACTTTACTCCTATATAGTGTGGCCAGGCCAAACTAAAAGTATCCTGAAAGCTTGAAAGAACAAGAATAGCTTTGTCTGGCCTCTAAAATAGGCATGCTGAAATCCTGGCACTGAGGATTAAAAGGTGTTTTCACTTCAACATTGTTCTGCCTATTTATCTATAGTAATTGATTTAGTTTTATGTTTTAGTTATAATTTAATTATAATTTCCAGTCCGTTCATGTTAAATATCTCATCTAGTGAGCAACTGACCACAGATAAGAATCTCTCTTTATTTATAAAGCTCTTGCCTCAGATTGCAACCAAGAGATTTTTCTTGCCCAATGCACAGAAAAGAAACCTCACACCTCCAGTCAGTTGTTTCTCAGGGGTAAGAGCCTTCTCCTTTCTTGGTGCTTAGACAGGCTCTCTTGCTCAGGGATGAGGAGGTGAAATGCCCATCATCTCATGGATCCAAATGGATCCGCTGAGGCAAGAACTTGGGAAGGGTGTATGTTTTGAGTGTATAGTTATGTATATCTGCATGAGTGAGGTATGTGTGTGTGTGAGAGAGAGAGAGAGAGAGAGAGAATGTGGCTAACTGCTGGACAGACACATGATGGCTGTGTCTCTGGTCAACACTTGTATGTGCCCCACCCCCTCCAGTGTACCAGCCCAGGACCAATGTGGCCCTGGACCTGAAATAATCCCCTCCCAGTAGCCTAAGGTGAAGGTAATGGGTAAACATGTCTAAGATAAGCACAAAATGTGGGGGGTCATCATAGGAAAAACCCTGAGCCCAGTAGCTACCTGCCTAAGTTTCAAAGACAAAGGCATTTTATTTATTTATTTTATGTGCCACCCCCATTAGTGTCGTATCAAAGTGAAAGATCCGTGCTAATTTTGCCCCTCCAGATTAAATAATACTAAATTCTAAATCATGGTTATTAGTGTCTGTTCCATAGCATTGTATACAGATATATGCAAACAATAGTTAGATTTTATTCTGAAATGTTGAGACATTGATCAAACAGTGGGAAGCAGAGGTCCACAATTTTTGTCTGACCTTGCTTGTTGACCTCTTATGCATGGCTAACATGCCCCCTCAATCCCTACTCTTCTGAAATATATAACAGGGAAGAGTACAGGTGCCTTCCACGCACTGGGCTGGGCCATGCTAGCCCCAAAGAGACGCCTCTTTGTCTAGCAGGAGCAATCTGCCTTGCAGTTTTTTGTGCTTCAAAAAAGGGTAAAAGAAGGGCCAGCATTTTTGCCCTATCATTGGTTGGGAGGTGCATGTATACTGGCAGAATGGGGACATCCTCATTATTCCCGAGTGTCTTTGCCTAGCATTAGGTAAGCAAATATTACCTCATTCTTCCCTAAAGGATTCCTTCAAAAGATCTGTAACTATCTCTGTGACATGTTCAGACAGCAAGGAAAGGAGTATGCCTCAACCTAATGCAAGGCTGCTGGGAAACTACCCGTTACCCTAGGCTGTCGAGACTGAAGGATGCCTACACACAGTGGAGGCCCTGATGGAGCCGGTTTCTCCTCCTGCCAAATAAGGGAGATACGCATGACCACTCCTTACTAACACCTTCAAAGAGAGAGCAGTGCTCATCTTCAAAACTAGGTTTTAAGAAAGGGTTTCCTCTTCACCAACAGCAAATTGATAAATGCAATAATCAAGAGACACCCCCCCCACACACACAAAAGAGCTATGAAAATATTCTTCAGAACCATTTAATACAACGTCTCTAACCACTGTCTGGTATTTTCTACCAGTGCCTTATTCTCAGCTGTATTCTTACTTTCTCTGCTTCTGCTGCAGGTCTTCCCATCCACTGGAGACCCCACAAGCTCCATAAAGGTGGAGGCTTACTGTGGCGAAGATTCATCTTTGTTGACTTCCCACCCGTCTAGCAAGGAAGACGGCCCTCAGATCAGCAGAGAGTCGTTCCCTTCTGCCCGGTCTGTTGAGAAGAATGAGAGCTCTTCTTCCAGGAAATGGGCTTCCCTGTTCTGCCCAGCATTATCTGTTAAAGAGGAACCAGTATCGCCCGTTGAAGAGCTGAATGTATGCCTCCCAGGACCATCTGTAAAGCAGAAAAGACAGTTTACAGCTCTCAAGTCACCACCACAGAGCACACTATTAGACACCTCGGCTATAAACAGGCAAGAGAGGCATCATGTAGGCAAATCCAGAAGGAAACAACACTTAGCCATGTCTTGCTCAGAGGAACCCCTACTGCTACTGCCATCGAGTGGCAGTTCAGATTCATCCACACTGGAGCGTGACCTTCCCTTTGGGCAGGAGACTCCTCCTCTGAGAAACATGGCCGACCTAACCTGCTCTCCAGGGGAAGGTGGTTCATTTAAAACACCAGCAAAAGAGATGTTGTGCAGGCTGCCAGATTCTTCTAGCCCCAGCAAGACACCTATACCAACACTGCCATTTCTGGCACTTTCTGACACCTGGAGATCAGCATCCTCTGTCAAGGAAACAAATGACCTGGATATCAGCCCGGCCAGAACTCCTCCAGGACCATTATTGTCCCTTCAGGAGAACGCAGAACTTCTGGGAATTAGGAGCACTCCTCCAAGACACTCCCTGTGTGACTCCCCACATTTGCCCTTCCTGAACGCAGGAGGCAATGCTATGGTCTCTGGGCCCTTAACGAGCTCTCCTGCACCCAGCAAACAGTCATCTCCAAAGCTTCAGGATTCCGTTCTTCCAGAAAACCATTCATTTCTGGAGGGGCTAGTCCTAGATACCATGAATGACAATTTGGGCAAAATCCTACTAGATGTCAGCTTCCCTGGTCTTGACGATGACAACCTGGGTACTGATTTGAGCTGGTCATACTTAATTCCTGAGCTGAAGTGATTAAAATTTAGCTCCGAGATTCTGTAAACTGTGCACTGGAAATAACCAAGGGGCACACCAGGATATGATGTTAACTGACCACCTACCTTGTCATGCGCATAGGGTGATCCTGATATAGAGCTGTTCATGAAATGGTCCGCAAGCTGCTTGGTGTCCCACTGGATATTGCTGTTGCATATGCAGAGGGCTAATACACTGGGATGAACAATCAAGAAAACTTTTGAAATATTGTAAGGAAAATTGCTATTTCCTTATAATGACCTACCATATTGCCTTGTAGATTTTGATGGTTTGTAAATGCTTGTATATTTTAAAATAGTTTTTAGAGCTCTTGTACTTTTAATAGCTGCAGAGAAAATTTCAATTAATTCAGCTTGTAATGAAAAGAATTTCATCCACTACAAAAATTCCCTTCTAGCACATGAATTATTACTTACATTAACTCTTGTCACCTTTTGTGCCTTTCAGTCACCTGAAGAATGGATAACTTTATTATTGTACAGTTTCTGCTAGGCCTTCTTCTTTTGCCTGTCAGGTACGTCTGCCATGAAGAAATTGGGCAGCTGAAGCATTTATCCTTACTGTGTTCATGTCAGGAAAACCTCAGCTACTCGATTCTTTGTGCCAGATTCTGTTTTAAAGGTACAGCAATGAAGCTAGAAAGAGGAAAGATGGTAATCCCATTCAGAATCAATATAATTTCAGTATTGAATATCTGCATTATCTGTAAGAAAAGAGGTTTTAACAGCTATGTAAAGCAATTCCAGCTAATGCCTGGGTGGGATACAGTTTACCTTTCTAGTAAGCTTTTTTAGTTTTTAAATATAGCTCCAGTTTTGAAGTCAGTTCTACCATAAACCCTGGCACTTAAATATCCAACACAACCGTAGACTATTCAGATGCTGTGAAAGCCCCCAAATACTGTACAGTGATCCTACAGACACAGCGGTTATTCCCAACCTTAGATAACCCAGGTGTTTTTGGACTTCAGTTCCTAGAAGCCTTCACCACCAGCTGTACTGGCTGGGGTTTTTGGGAGTTGCAGTCCATGAATACCTGGGTTACTCAAGGTTGGAACCAATGCCCTACAGCTGTCCAATCAGGCATTGCTTCCCAGTAGTGTTGAGGAATGCACGCATGTGGATAAAAAAGGGTTATTGCACTCCTTCAAATTGCCAATAGGTGGCAGCACCTGATAGTATGGCCCTGTGCTCCAATTTCTTCACCAGGTGTCAATGGTCAAAAGAGGCACCTTTAGTAAAGGATCCTGTAATCTACGCTTGAGGAACAGAAGCAGTCCAAGCTGGGGATCAGATATTTTCTGTACATATTAAAGACTTACTGTTGCAAGTTCCCCCTCTGATATAGTGTATTTTGCCAAATAAAGACAGGAGGGGAGAGATAGCATGATTTGTAATTTTATCATATTGCCTAGAACAAGAGTATGCCCTTTAAATTATTCTCCCTCTGATACTGTGTATTTTGCAAAAAAAAAAAGGGGGGGGGTAGATGGGTGGGAATGGTACGAACTGTAATTTTGTCATATTGCCTGCAACATGAGTCTGCCCCTTAAATTAAAAAAAAAATAGAAGAAGTGGAGGTACTTCAGCCATGCCTTTTTTATTCCTTTTAATAATCTATGCAATAAAGCCAAAATAGAAGTGTAGTTCTGAATCATGCATTTCCCTGGAATTCCATTTGTTTCCTTCTGAACTGCTTAGTAACAAGCTGGGTTTTCTCACATTGCCAGAGGATTGGTCTAGAAAATGATGACCTGGAAGGGGGGGGGGCTGCAAACTCTGCAACTGACTTTATGATTCAGATCCTTGATCAGCTGTTTTCCCTCTTTGTCTGTTTGTACAGGCTGCTTTCCCTTTCTTTTGAACAGCTCTCACATGTTCCTATTACACTTGGAGATTTTCACTGAACCTCCCCATTCAGCATTATGATTTATTTATCGATCAAAGTCCTCCCATATGTTTGTCAACTTTGGCTTTTCAGGCTGCAATTTTCTTCAGGTCCTCAACGAAAACCGGCAGCAGGCTAACATAAAAAAAATCTATTCTGAACAAGAATTCCCTTACATCAGAGTGGGAACAGTGTAGGCCTGGAGCTGCAGACATCCTCTGAAGGGCATTTTGGATGCCCCTGGGCCTCCACAGACCACTCACAACTAAGAGTTTAAAAACAAAAATGTCAGAATGGGTTTTTCTGCTCCTGGATGCATTTTTTGCTTTATATGTTTGGGGACCGTGAGGACTCAATCTCCTACCCCAAACCAAACAGCAATTTTAGCAATTTATTTTTTCCTCAGGTCCCTCAACGCCTGGTTATCATTCTTCTTCAAAGCTCAGTCACAGATCATACAGTATGAGACTTCAGCTCCAAATCTGAATAATATCTGCATGGCATTCAGCATTTCTTAAAAACACTGCACTACTAATTTCTCTGACAACATTCAAACATTCAACATTGCCTAACTTATTCTCAGACTCCCCGAAGGTACAGCTTAGGCATGGCCTCTGGTTGTGGCCACTGTTGTTTAAACAAAATGGGCTGAAAGCAGCTGCAGTGAACAGCAGATACTGCAAAGGAAACAGAGACAGTCTTCCGGGGAGGACTGGGATGTCCTCGGCCACAGGGAAACAGGGGTTGAGATATTTGCCTCAAGACAGTTGTTGCTCTGTCTTTAAACCCAACCTACCCCATTTAGCCCAGTCCCTGCTGTTTCTGTGTTCTAGGGAGATTTCCTTGTATGAAATATTGTATTAGGTTGTTGATAAAATACACCCTGTTCAGAAGAGTGTATCAAAAAGGTTTCATGCCCATTATTCTTATTACTTATCTCAAAGTACAAACAGTAACGTATTGTCATTAGAGGGGGGAAAGGCACAAGAGCTTTTTGGTACATCCTTGTGTGTGTTTGTGTGTGTGTGTGTGTGTGTGTGTGTGTGTGTGTGTGTGTGTGTTTACACACACATGTCTAAAGGTTCCATAATACATATTTTATATAAAAACATGAACAATTTCAGTGTGAGATGCCAGCTTCAATTATGACTTCTGACAGGGAAGAATATTCCAAAGGTGGGCTTTATAACTACAGACTGGTAACTATGTATGTGTCCTTCAGTGGACGTACTTGAGGGACGTGGTGGCGCTGCGGGCTAACCCGCAGAAGCCTGTGCTGTGCAGGGTCAGAAGACCAAGCAGTCGTAAGATCAAATCCGCGCGACGGAGTGAGCTCCCGTCGCTTGTCCCAGCTTCCACCAACCTAGCGGTTCGAAAGCATGCAAATGCAAGTAGATAAATAGGGACCACTTCGGTGGGAAGGTAACAGCGTTCTGTGTCTAAGTCGCACTGGCCTTGTGACCACGGAAGATTGTCTTCGGACAAATGCTGGCTCTATGGCTTGGAAATGGGGATGAGCACCGCCCCCTAGAGTCGAACACAAATGGACAAAAATTGTCAAGGGGAACCTTTACCTTTTACCTTCAGTGGAATACATGCACAGCCCTCACACCTCTGCATAGCAAAGTTTTTAAATTATTATTTAGTTCATTACCTGAAAAGAAGGTGGGGTGAAGTCAAATATCTTGCCTGTTGCTAAATTCATAAGAGTACTTTACTTTCTTTATGTAGTACTGTACATTGCTGGGATCAAAGCACTAAGCCTCTGTAAACTATGTCAATTCTGTAAAACAAGAAAAGAAAAGGGGGAGGGCAATGTTCACGACTGGGAGTCAAACTGGAAGCCAAACAACATTTTCTTGATCTCCTTTTAACAAGATATTAGGATGCTAGTTTTCTCCTTCAAACCTTGGCTGAAGTCATTTTCCTGATGGATGACATCACAAGCAGTTGCTGTGGCAATCTATCTGTTCTGTGGGAGGAGGGAAGCAGGTCTGAAAACTAAAGTGCACAAGAAATAAACACAGGGTGTAGATGGGGGCGTGGGGAGAAGTGAAGGCTATGGAATTAAGGCAAGCCGTTCCCATGACAGCTTTCCAATGGGTTTCTGTGATGTTTCATTTTCAGTTACAGTTTCTTCAAAATATTTGCTTGCTCGTGACATCTGCCCGAAGAGACTTGACTTCTCCAAGCACATATTTATTCTAAGGTTAACGATGATTCTCTCTGTTCCAGGAAACATTGAGATCTATAAAAGAGTGAAGAATCTCTAGCTGTGGATTCTCAGAACTGATTATTTTAGGGGAAATATCATGGCAGTTAAACTGGTGTAGACAGAACTTGTAGACTGCTAGGCATGAGCCATGTTCAACTACTGGAGATAAAAAAACAATTCTGACAGCACTGGACAAAATTTTTCATAGTAAGGGCCAGATATATACAGTGGTACCTCGATTTAAGAAAGTAATCCTTATTGGGACTGCATTAAGTTGACTATGTTACACTATGTCTAAGACTATGTCTAAATGGGCGGCATATAAGTTCAATAAATAAATAAAATAAGTTGAAACGTTCTTAAGTCAAAGCACCATTTCCCATAGGAATGCATTGAAAATCATTTAATTTGTATCTGCAGGTTTTCGTTCTTGTAGTCTTATTCAGGCAATCTAACTAGTTTAAGTAAACATAGGAGAAGGTCTGCTGCCTCCAACCTTCCAATGTTACTTTTACCTGGAAAGTGAATTGAAGAGTCTATAGTATGTATATGGCCACACAATTCTGAATGCTAAAATAAAATAAAACTAGAATTTAGAATTGCCTGGGGAGCTTCAATGCACCAAGGAGGACTTTGGCTTCTCACTGTCCTCTAAGAGCAACATTGGAAGGGGGCAGGGTCTAGTTAAGTGTCTGAATACTACTTGTTGCATGAGAGATCCCTCTTAGAGTTTTATCACTTTTGGGTTTACCAAAAGGCAAGAAAAAAAAATAAAAGCAGATCTGGGGCAAGTGTTAGGGAAGTGAAGTTTTAAATTTTCTATCCTGTTACCCAAATATCTTGAAGCTCCTGTTACTTCCAGAAGGGAAAGAAGATAAAATGATTACTTTCTGTGTTACTTTTCATAGTAGGTCAGTCAAAACTGACAACCCAGTTTTATTTATATATGTATGATTGTATGAATTGACAGTATTGCATCATGAAGAGTTATGACACTATGAACAACAGCTGTTATCAAGCATTCAGAATTATCAACAAGAGTTCCGCAAACTCTGGCTGCTGGTCGTAGCCATCAAAAAACATGCAATTGCCTTGGTTATGTCCCTCCCTCTTTGAAACCTGTTATTGGGAGTGTAGGATTGTTTCTTACTAGTCTTTTCTTCAAACCATATTCTAATTTTCTTTCAAAGAGCTCAAGACACCTCAAAGACAAGGTTCTTCTCCCATTGATCCTGGGGCTCCTACAATGAGAATTAAGCAGAGAATCCAAGTTTGCTTAGGAACAGAGTGGGAGGTACATCACAGTTGCTCTGGACGATATAAGCCTACACAGAGCAAGCCCTGTTTATACCATTATGTATTTGATTCCTTCTGCGGTCAGCTAGATACTTTCGTGAAGTTCCCGAAACAAGATAATGAATGCTGTAACAATTTCCCCCTTCATACTCAGCAGCTGGTAAATGGAGGTAGTATATGGCCCTCTTTAATAATAGCCAGCCACTAATAGCCTCTTCCCCAGGAACTAATGTGAACTAAGATTTGGTCTGCCAGTTAGATAGTTAGGTTAATGCTGCAAAACACATGGTTAGAACTCCAAAACTGTTTTAACTTGACATTTCAGGATTTATAGCTAACACAAGTGTGACTCCCTTTCCATCCAGCTTTGTTTGATGACTCAGGTGTGAGTTAAGAGAGAGAAACCCCTGGAAATCCAATATCTCCCTATTCACTCCAGGCAAAATTTTACATACCATATTTTACATTCCTTCCTTCATTTTTTCTTAAGATAAAATATCCTAAACATGTTTTGTCAGATAGTTTTAATGCATCCCCTTGTATCATTTCGGCTTCCTTTTTCCACTTCTACAATGTGCTTTTGAAGGTGCAGTGAGTAAGGTGGTATGCTTAGCATCCCAAGAGTAGTGGTATAGATTTATATATAATTATTATGGCATTGGTAGATTGCTGTGTTTTCCAGATGCTTTCCAAACGATCCCACACCTGGAATTTATCATTTTCAGAGTAGCCGCACATTGGGTCAACATTTATGTTGAGCTATCCACCATAACCCTTCAATGCTTTCATGGTCAGTTACCACCTGCTACACCATTTGTGTATTTGTGTTTTAGGGTTTGTTTGGTTTTTTTGCCCCAGTATGCACCAGCTGACAGCTAACACCTCCTTACATTGAAATATGTTTGGCATTTTAATCCCTTCTCTGCCTGCTGCCCCCAGTTTGGAGATATCCTTTTGGAGTTCTAAGTTTGAACCACCGTGAATTGTCATCAGCAAACTTGGCCACTCCACTGCTCATTCCCTGAACTCTTGATCTGCTGCATTCTCCTGAGGCCAATGGAAAACTAATCGTGGCCAGTGTGGTGAGCAGCTGAATCATGTACTCCTGGATGTTAATTATTAATACATTGATAAAGGAAAGCACTTTTGACCAGATTGAATAATTATTCCTTCCATGTTTAGCTTCCTGTTACAAAGTTTGCTAGAACTGTGATAGTGCACATGTTTCCTTACAAATTATTCCGTACCATAAGAAGCATGACAATTGTTACTTAAAATGACAACTGTCACTTCAATCAGTTAGATTATGCAGATTCAAATATTGTGTTTCCTTACAACTTACTCTCAACACACCCTTGACTTCCCTTCGTCTTTCAGCTCTAATGTCAGAAGTGGGAATTCAGGATGCTGTAGTAGCAAACTTGCAAACAGAAGTCCTGCTTTCTTTGTATGGAAGATGAAGGGCATTGAGACAAGTATGTTTATGATCTGCTACATAGCTTAGCAAGAGAAAGAAAGTGGCAAGTCTACATGTGTGAGTAAATATGTATTATATTGGCCTTTGCAACATTTATTCTGTTCAAAACAAAGGTTGTGGATGATCTGGGGAGGGGGACCTTGATTCTGGGATTAGCATCATCCTATTCTGGAAGGGCGTCTTCTGCTCAGGTGCTCTTGGTAAAGCACAAATAAATTTTGTTTGAATCTCATAATTTTTGTGCAGGAAAAGTGGGGCAATTTTTCTCTGAAAGAATTGTAAACATTGCATTACATTTGCCAGAATGTCTGAGGAAGTGGATTGTATCCATGAAAGCTTATGCTAAGAGAAATCCGTTCCTCTTTAAGGTGGCACACTTCTTTTGTTTTAATATTTTTTACACATGCTGAAACAGATTCACACAGCTACCTCTATGAAAACTGAATAAAAGACAAATTATTCTTTATTTTCCAAAATGTACACGAGCTTCATACAGATTTTTAACAGTTTCTTGATAACAGTTTGCCAATAATAAGCCCACCTTTCTGAAATGCACATTGACAATTGGCCTTAAATTGCTTCAAAGATTTATCGCAGTTTCTATCTCTCATTTTCTGGAGGCAGATTTATCAACCTTATAAGTCTATCCAGTAGTTAGTTAATACAGAAACAAAAGGAAAATACTGGGCCCTTGCTCCAAAAAACTGTTGAGAACCAAAAGCCGCTGGTAGGTCATGAGATATTAAATATATCAGGGCATGAATCCACAGCTATGGCAATGCTGTAATAAAGTGGTTCTTAACTTTTCTTGGTCATGAAGTTCTTTGAGAAGCTGTGGACCATTTCTCCAGAAAAATGTCCATAAACATATACACAGGAAAAATTCTGCGCCAGTTCATGACCCTCCTGAAGCAAGTACTTAGACCACAGATCAAGAAACCCTGCCTACTGAAATAGATCCCTGGACAGTATTTAATTTTGCCATGGTCTTCAATGTTAGGCAATGCACTGAAATTCATGTCTCCACTTGAAAAGTTGTGTTCTTCAGTTGAGATTGGACATAACAGTACGGCAATGTTTCTAATCAAATATTTGATCTTGTAATCTCTCTGAACCCTATTTTCTCCATACTTAGGAATTATCTGACTTCCATTTCAATATGTCCACATGGAAAGAGAGGCATTTCCTATGTCAGGAAAAATATGTATCATGGCCAGGCTTTTCTCCAAGACCCTACCATAAACTGGCTATTGAAGCACCGCCACACACAGATGCCAAAATCAAGGTTTGCCAGAAACTGCGCTGCCCAGTTGAAGAGAGTGCCCTTTGGCATGTCTGGGGATATCATACTTGGCTGGATGTAGGAAGGTTGCCACCTATTTATCGCCCAAGGCCAGATCAACCTTTTGATAGCAATACATGGCGGTGGATTACTGCTCCCAGGAAAATGTCAATGACTGAACCACCAGTGCCACCTCCTTCACAACTGAATGGAAACACCTACATCAAGTTTATTGAAGGAGAAGGACTGTTCGTGGATCAAAGACACAAAGAAAGAGTTATGACTCGGACACGGAAAGAAATAAAGCAGTGTGAGCAACTCAAATTAAGGAGTGAATGCCGAGCTCCTCCTCTGGACAGCCAGGGAAATATTATGCCTCCAAAAGAGTTCAAAAGGTAAGATATGCTTCTTTTCCCGGTATTTTTTTTCCTGTTGATTGATGTGGACAGGGCTGGTTCCACCATGGAGCAAGCTGAATCCCTCGCTTCAGACAGTAAGATCAAGATTGCAAGAGAGACAGAGAGGCAAAATGAGAGTGTGCCCCTGCATTTTGATACACCTGCTCTGTCTCCAGTTCTGAGACTGCTCTCTCCTCTTCCTTATCCTGTCCCTATATTTTCCTCGTTATTTTTTTGCCAAAAACCTGCTTGTTTTTTTAAAAAACCTGTACTTTCCCTTTCTCTCCATTCTTTCTTCCTCTCCTCCCACCCTCCCTTTTCCTTACTGGTCTGTCTTTTTTCTGTGTTTGCAATCCAGGCTTCTGAGGGTTAGACTACATAGGGGTTTGTCTCACTGATTGGTCTGTTCTGGGGACAGGCTGGTTCACTCCTTTCCTTGGTGACCACGTGACATAAGTGCCAGTGTAAATCTGCCAGTCTTCAGTGTTCCTACCTGTGCCTTTTTGGCTATCGGGGGCTGCTCATTTCAGCTGTGGGTAGGATCACTCTATTTGGGTTCCGTTCCAGCACATGCAAAGTGGATGGCTTGCTGCTTTCAATTTCCCATCCACTCTCAACTTCTCAGTATTATTGTGGCTTAAGCAGACAGCTTAGCCACTTACTGGTACTGGGAAATTAAAAACTTCTCCTGCTTCTGCATGGAGAGGAAAAGGAAGCAAGCAAATATATATTTTTAAGCCTAGGTAAAGCAGCATTGATGTGCTGTGCCTTTTGGGATGGGGGGCATTAAAAATTTAAAGCTTCCTCGTGGAAGGAAGAGGAGACAGGAAAGGGCAAAGTGGGATGTTTTTTTCTCTCCCCCCTTTCCATTTAAAGGGAGGCAGGTCAAATTAGGTTGCTTGAGGTGGCATGTGTCATATGGATGCAAGGATCACACCAAATGGCATACTCAACCCCTACACAACATTAAGCAACCCTATTAAGCCCAATCCAGCCTGGTTCAATTTAGCTGTCTAGCCAAGCCCTAACATTTATAGCAAAGTTAAGATAACTGGTGAGAGAAGAGGATGGGGCAGGAGAGACGATATATGCAGGGCTGCTCTAAAGCAGGCAATACAGAGATTGGACATGCCTTTGCTCATTTTTCTTGCCCCCCCCTCTCTCATTCACTCACTCACTCACTCACTCACTCACTCACTCACTCACTCACTCTCTCTCTCTCTCTCTCTCTCTCACACACACACACACACACACCCCTAGATGCAGTATGTTTTAAAGCAAAGAAAAGAGAATCATGCTCCTGGAAGCCTTCAGGAAAGAGAATGCATTTTGAAAACAAGGTGTGTATCTGCACACATTTTTCTTCAATTAAAATAAAAATATTGTTTTAGAACTAAAGGTAGCCTTGTACATGCAGCTGGTTTCTTCATGCAGGCAAGGACAGGCCCATAATAGGTCCTGGATGTCAATGGTTCTGTGAGCTGAATTATCTCTAACAGCCAAGCAGATGTTACTTTAAAACACAGAATAGGACTCTTTTTTTCTGATTTACTCTAGAATAAACATAGGAGGCCAGATCCAGACAATCATACTGTTATGGATCAGCCCCATCATTTGCATTGCAAAATAGTGTTCTGTGAGGGAATGAAGTGGGGATGAGGACCAAGTGCTGAACTGCCCCCAGTGATGCACAAGAAGGCTACATGTCAACAGTGGGAGCGCTATAACCCAAAGTGGTTGGTTGTACATGACTGCACTAGCAGCTGAGTCTCCTGACAATAATTCCATAGGCTCCAGTTTGTGAGAATCATCAAGAACAGATTTTAATGCAACTGAGGAACCAACAGTAACACTGCCCTTAACTGTCTCTCGGAGCTTCCTGGAGAGTTAGGTTTCCTCCACTAACACCCCCCACCAGGAATGTTCTTTCAAGAGGTCCCCCTAATAAAGCCACAGGGGGCCCTGAGATTCCTAGTCTCTGAAAGGTGGGAGATGAGGGTAAGTGCCGGCCATAGTCACAGGCTTTTCAAGGATAGCTGGTAGAGCTGGGTGGGAGTTGCTGGAGCCCGCTCCTCGGCTCTTCCTGGAGCCACCTCTGCCTCTCTCACTGGGGCTTCTGTCATGAGGGCTGCTGCTTTTGTTGGACATCACAAGCACCAAGGTCATGTCAAAGGTACCATCAGCTCTGGAGACCTGGACCTTGGTGGCGGCCCCTTCCTCTAGCAGGGACTTCAGCCCAAGCCTCTTCTTCTCAATCACTCTCTACCTCAGCGAAAGTACAGAATTGGGGATCCCAAACCCCAACAGCTTCTTCCCACAACTCCTCCTCCTCCTCCTCCTCCTCCTCCTCCTCCAAAGTCTCAGTCTCTCCCTTCATTTCCTGAAAGAAGCCACCAAGTACAGTACTCTGGGGTTTCCTCCTTAATCCCAGCCTTTGCTTCATCCTCTCCCCCTCACAGGTGGCCCTCATCAGCCAGCTTCCTCACAGGCATCTGTTGTCCCTCTCCCTTGCTTAGTAGGGGCCCAGGAGCGAGCCCTCTCACAATGACACACATCCAGAATTGCCCAGATCCCCCCTCACGATGCTTCCGTGGATGAAATCTTGCTTTTGAAAAGCCTCTAGTGGTGTCCCTGAAAGGCTCTCCAGATTTGGTCTAGTGTGTGTTCAAATCTCACTTTAGTTTCAGACACAATTGCATCAAATTCCACATGCTGCATTATTATTTCAGCTTCAGTCCTTGCCTGTGATACGATCTGGTCTTCTTCACTTGGCCAATAAATTGTAACACTCACTATTAATGTTATTGTATTTTGAACAGATATAAGCGCCTGCTTTCGGGAAAGAGCCCATCATCACTTTGTGTCCAACTGCAGCCTGTCACACTTCCTTCTAAAGACTATTGGAACTACCCTTGCCCAAGTCTCCAGCCCCATTACCAGGAAGCAGCTGTCAAGTTTGCTCTGAAGAACAACAGTCCAATCTATCAGGAAGTGGTGGAAAAATACCAGAAACTGGCCCTTTCTGGGAGCAAAATCAGGCCTTGCACACCTGTTAATTAAATAAAGGAACTGAAGTGAAACTTGACACTCACTGAACTACCAGGCAGTAAACTAGTAATTTAACCCTGTTACTGGTAAAACTGTAATTATAAATGAAGGCAAGCTGTCACTGCAGAAATGACTACCTAAGAACACAAAGCAAGCACTCTAGGTATATTCACATCATGCAATTAAACTGGGTTCAGAGTCAATCCTTTGCTACACAGTGTCCCTGGGACTAATTCTTTGGTCAGTGTAAATCACTCAGCATTAACTTTCAGCAGCAAATTGCCACCAGTTAAGAAGTCAGTGCTGTTTTTTTCTTGCCACAGATCAGTTTTTTTCTTGCCAAAGATTTGATGCATGATCAGAAAAACCATCACCAGCTTCCTAACTAATGGCATATGTTTGCTGCAATGTATAGTAATGGAGTTATGCACTTACAGTATATTATGTAAAGGATTCTAGCCCAAAACCTAAATGTTACCTTTCATAGCCACTTACAGAGATTGTCCAGACGATTTAAAACTCTGTAGTAAAAGCTACGCACAGTCCTTCTCCTCTGTACAATAATAGTTCTTCAGTACACCTCAGCTTTCTGCCTCAAGAACTGTGTTTGGAATATCATCATAGCTTAAAAGAGAAGAATGCTCAGTCCAGATTTGGAATACAAACCACTGATCCAGTCCAGATCCACCAGTGCTGTGGCAGTAGTGTACTTACCAGAAAGATAAGGGCTAGAACCCCACAGCTGAACTTCAGGTTCATCTCCTTCTTACGTAATACATTGCACAGTCAATTCTATGAAGGCCTACTGCTCATGTGACCCTGAATGGCCATTGTTATTACTGTGTGCTGTGAGGCTGCCTCTGACTTTTAGCAAACCTATGAATGAGTGATCTCCAAAATGTCCTGTCCACTACAGTCCCACTCAGCTCTTGCAAACTCAAGCCTGTTGTTCTTTTATGGAGTCAATCCACTCCATATTTGGTCTTCCTCTTTTCCTACGTCCCTCAATATCTTATCTTTCCCAAGTGAATCTTGTCTTCTCATGATGTGCCCAAAGTATGATAGCCTCATTTCCATTTTTGTCTCCAGAGAAAGTTCAGTCTTGACTTGATCTAGAACCCACTTGTCTGTCTGGTAGTCCAGGTTACCTGCAAAATTATCCTCCAGCATATTTCAAATTAATTTTTTTCCTGTCAGCTTTCTTCACTGTCCAACTTTCTCACCATATATAGTGATCAGGAACACAATAGTGTGGACATTTTTGGCCTTGGTCTCCAGTGACACATCCTTACATTTCTTCATTGTTGCCGTTCTGAGTCTTAGTCTTTCTCTTTCTTGGCTGCAGTCTCCATTTGAATTATGATTGAACCAAGACATACGAAACCTTTAAAAAGTTTCAGTTTCTTCACTGTCAACATTAAAGAATGTAGTACTTCTGCAGTCACAGTTTTTGTCTTATGTTCAACTGCTCTGGGACTTTCACTTTCATCAGAAGTAATTTCAAGTCATTGTTGCTTTCTGCCACTAAGACAGTATCATCTGCTTATTTTAAATTATTGATGTTTCACTCTTCATTCATCTGAATCTAGTCTGGCTTTCCGTTATGATATGAACATCAGACATTTCTTGCTCTATAAAAAGCCTTTTTAAAATATTGTGTTTAATTCTTGTAAGTTTCCTTGGGTCTTTTTCAAAAAGAAAGGTGGGGTAAATACCACAAATAAATAAAAAAATTAAATATTAATAATCCTCTGTCTTCTTGATACTCAACATATATATAAATGTACATTGCTGCAGTTAATTGTAGAATGGAGCAGAGCAAGAAATACACTGAATAACTGGCAATGTCTGGCATAAATGGAAGTGAAACCTGCAAGTTACAGAGTGAGATTTCATTAGTGTTCCCATTAAAAAAAATCGCCTATGCAAATATATGGAGGTCCAGAAGGAAGCACTTCACAGTAGATGGAAAGAGGATGGACACTCTATTATGAAACCTAGTGCTCTGCCCACATTTTGGACAAGACATGCCAGGATGTAGACACAAAAATCTATTTACTTATTTTATTTATTATTAGACTTTTACCCCGCCCCCCCCTAGACACTCAGGGCCTGAGTGCAAGTGGTTGAGTGAGTTATGGTTCAATAATGACTGGTAGAGCTACTATCTAGAAGCGCCCACTATCAGAAAGGGGAAAACATACACACAAACACAGGAGTTTTCTGGTGTGATAATTTTTAAAACGTTTAACATAAGGCAAAAAAAAAACCCACAACAACCCTGTACGATCTAAAGAAAAATTGAAATGTTTATTCATATTCTAGACTCTAGGTTGGATTAACATTATGATTACTGAATCAAAACACCTATCATTTTGAAATACAATCTTTATTGAAGTGTTCAACAGAAAGATAAAAACAAAAAATAAAATAAATAGATACAACAAAACATATACAAATTTAAACCTAACGGTATTTTACATGTGTGCTAGTGTTTCTTAAAGTCCTATTCCTGCTGCATATACTGCCATTTTTGTCTGCTGGCCTGTTAAGTTTTGAAATACTTCTCCTGTACAAAGAACTACTGTTAACGGTATTCACTAAATCACTTTCATTTTTCAATGTTTATGTAAGTCTTTTGTGACAGAAGAGAAAGTGACTGAGGAGAAGTTAAGCAATAAGAACCATGAGAAAAAAATGTGAAAAAAATTTACTTTCGATTGCTTTGCCTTTGACCGTAACTCTGCCATTACTTTTGAATCTGCATTGCTGCTTTCCTCCTTCACTGGAGACCAGAATTTTAATGCTGCTTCAGCTGTTTCTGCAGAAAAGGAGTACACTGAGTTTAATGCAACCAAGTTGGCCAGGTCTAGTAAGCACTGAGATGATATGAAAAGCAGCGCTACCGGTTGTGTGCTTATGTACAGTCTGCTGGTCGACTTTCTTGGGTAACAGGGTGACAGCTGGAGGATGAACTTCTGGCAGGAAAGCTGAGCTGAGAAGGAGTTTTTAAGTGCTCTGCTGGAAAGTACAGGGTCTTATGAATGAGCTCTCTAACAGCAGATATGTCATCTTCAGCTATAGAAAAGGGAGACACACACACATTGTTACTACTGAAATGATGAAAAATGTATATTTGTATTGTTAAGACTACACCACCCACAGAATACATCTTCTTCATCTCCTGCTTCCAAATATATCATCTATTTGACGTCTTTATTGACCATCTGGTGATGTCCACATGTACAGCCATCTGTTGGTTGCTTGAAGCATGTATTTACAATAAAAAGACTGTTGGCTTCACAGAACTCTACAAGTTGTTCTCCTGCTTTGTTTCTACCTGTCTTTTCTCCCCGTCATAATCCTTTGTACAGGAAACAGTGATAATTTCTTGAATGTTCAACAGGCATTAATTAGCCTTTCATGAATACCATACAGATTTTATATGCAAAGTGTCTCCAGCACTTTTAAATGTACAGGTTATGTGCTGTTGTGAGGTATCTTAGTGACCACCAGTGCTTTTACACAAATGGATGCCTCCACTCCTGCTTCAATGCCTTGTTTTCAGTACGACTGTATTTGATTTGGTGATCATTCTCAGAAACATGCCCTAGAAATAAGTGTAGTGGGACAGGGGCAGAGCAGTTCTCACTGGTATGCTTAACTCTAGAAGGCTACAAACAAAGTGTCTGTGCAAGTGGAACACCTATACATGTGAATGCATCCATTTTTAATCCAATAGTGTGGCCTTCATCAAAGAGGAACAGGAGTGCCCTTCTTATTCAAGCCAGTGACATCTCCCCCAAAATGGATCTGCCACTACAAGCCTCAATATTCTATTGCATCTAAAAATGATACCTCCAGAGCTAATGAATTATATTTTGGGAACTGTAATCTACTGTAATCTATTTCATGATTACATGAATATATGAATATATAAAAAAGGTTCGACAAGAAAACTGCCAGAGATACAGCTCACTGTCATGAAAATAAACAGAGGGAAATAAGATTCCTATAAAACCATGTGAGAACTTACTTTCCTTAAGGAAAAAATATGGAATAAAAATTAAGTTCATATTGTGGGCATTTTCCACAGTGTTGTCCCTTACTTCAGATACTAATTTGTTATTACTGAATATACCCAATAGGCTTCCCCAAGGTTCTTTCTGACAAGGAGCTGATAAAATCGGAATGCGTACACTACAGACAAAAAAGGCATTAGACTGCACTTTTGGACAGTCTGGTATTTTAATCAAACAATCATGAAAGGTATATGGGCAGAGAAGTTTTCCCACAGCAAAAGTGAAACCTGTTTTGTTTAGGTCTGAATGGTAGGAGAGAGAAATTAAATAGCCGGTAATAACTGGATAAATTGGGCTTTGAAAACAGCCATTAAAAGGGGGAAATTTTGAGTCGCTAAAACATTTTGCTTTTTGTTTTTTTTAAAAAATTTAAGTGAAAGGATAGAACTGTCGATACTATAATGACAAATTTTCTTTGGAAAAACTAAACACTAAATTAATTTCTTATACTTTTGCCACCTTGGATTTATACTATATGCTTATTGGCATTTTGCAATGTTACCTATTTTGTTTGTTTACACTTCACCTTGACTTTGCTTTGGTGTTTCTGACCCAGATCCAAACAGAGAGGATAGAGTGCTTGCAGCCTGCAAAGACACCCCACTTCTCTTTTCTGTCTTATTTGTAATCAAGAACACTGCCACCATTTTTCAGATTATATGAAGTCTGTTTACATACCAACACCCAGCTGGAGCAGGAGATCTCTGTATTCAGAGTTGCTCTCTAATATCTTCAGCAAATTAGTAGACTCCATTCTCTCCAACTGCACATCCCAATAGATGTATATCTTTTGACTGAAACTGACGTATACCAGGCAAGGGCTATGGCAGTTGCCTTTGCAGGCATACAGGCCTAAGAGAAATTAAATACCTGTTATTCAAACATCACCAAAGGAAGAACTTTAGTGAAAATAACTGCTTGATGTGCTGGTGCTCTACTTGACTGCCAAATACAATAAGCTGATAGCAAATCCGCTGAATATACTCCACTGAATAATATGGAGCAACCAAGGGGCAGCAAACAAGCAAGAGTCAGGCTTTCTGTGGACAATCAATGTACCTACAGTACATCCTCAACTGCAAAATTAAAATAAAAATCATAATCGGGATAGCAAGCAAATGACCACGAAAATATAGTTCAGAAGGAGTTGTGCATTAATCTTTTGGCACTTTAAACACAAACAGATCCATTAAAAGATGCCATAGAAATCTGTTTATTTAAAAAATGCAACATGGTTATTTCATATCTGAGCTTCATCTGGACTGTGTCCTCTCAACAGAACATGAGCAGCAGTAGTCTGCTAGAGGGCAGTTTATGTCTTTCTCTGCTATCACCAGTCTCGTACACTATAATCTGCTGGAAGAACCAACAGAAGGTACTGCAGAACTGCAGGCCTCGAACAGAGATTGTGCCTTATGAGAACTTTCCAGATTAACTAGCAACCATTCTGCAAACTTCAACATACCCCCTAATTTTCAGACCCACTGGGTGGGGTTCTGCCTCTCTCGCATGCAACTTTGCCCCTGTGTGCAGGTGTGACGCACACACACACACACACCTGTGCCATGTTCTGTCGCAACCGGAACCAAAAGGGCTGAAAGCAATCACTGCATGTAGGATGAAAGCTGCACGGAGGGAGGTGGAGTCATGCACACATCTTAGAGGGAACCTTGGCAAAGTCTGAGACAAATTTAAATACAGTGTGAAGGTTGGGCTTTCTATTTAAAAAACATCAATCTGATTTGTAGTGGGGTACTTTTATTGAAGATTCAGTGGTTCTGCAGTGCTTCTCTCTAAATTTTGAACTGATATTTTTATTTTAATGTTAGGTCCCATTAAAATAAAATAACAATGGCCATTTAATCCAGGGGTAGGCAACTTTACTTGGGGAGTTCTAACATACCAGAGGCTGCATGTTAGAACTCCATGTGTTTTTTCCCCTCAATATTAAAAAATAAATACAGTGGTGCCCCGCATAGCGACGATAATCCGTTCCGGAAAAATCGTCGCTATACGGATTCGTCGCTATACGGGGCAAAAAAGCCCATAGAAACACATTAAAACGTAATCAACGTGTTCCTATGGGCTTGAAACTCACCGTTCAGCGAAGATCCTCCATAGCGCGGCCATTTTCGCTGTTCTTTTAAGGGAGGAATATGTCCCAGAAACAGCGGGCGGCCATTTTGAAACCGCCAGTCAGCTGTTATAAAAGCATTGCTATGATCTGAACCGATCATAGCAAAGCCAAGTTCCACTGCCAGCCAGCCCTGGAGGATGCCCGGCCTCCTTGCCGGGGCTGTCCCGGGGCACAAACAGGTGGGCCGGAGGGTCTTTCTCCGGTGAGCAGCGGGCTGGAGGGATGCAGCCGCCAGGGGTGGGGAAGGGGTGGGTGGGAATGGACGCGCCGGCCACCCCTCGCTTGCCAGCTAGCCCAGGAGACACCCGGCTAAGGCAGGCGAGCGAGGGGTTAAAGCGCCAGCCTAACGCCGCTCACCAGCTAGCCCGGGAGACACCCGGACAAGGCCGGCGAGCAGCGGGCTGGAAGAAGGCAGCCGCCCAGGGTGGGGAGGAGGAGAGGGAAGGGGTGCGCCAGCCTAACGCCGCTCACCAGCTAGCCCGGGAGACACCCGGACAAGGCCGGCGAGCAGCGGGCTGGAAGAAGGCAGCCGCCCAGGGTGGGGAGGAGGAGAGGGAAGGGGTGCGCCAGCCTAACGCCGCTCACCAGCTAGCCCGGGAGACACCCGGACAAGGCCGGCGAGCAGCGGGCTGGAAGAAGGCAGCCGCCCAGGGTGGGGAGGAGGAGAGGGAAGGGGTGCGCCAGCCTAACGCCGCTCACCAGCTAGCCCGGGAGACACCCGGACAAGGCCGGCGAGCAGCGGGCTGGAAGAAGGCAGCCGCCCAGGGTGGGGAGGAGGAGAGGGAAGGGGTGCGCCAGCCTAACGCCGCTCACCAGCTAGCCCGGGAGACACCCGGACAAGGCCGGCGAGCAGCGGGCTGGAAGAAGGCAGCCGCCCAGGGTGGGGAGGAGGAGAGGGAAGGGGTGCGCCAGCCTAACGCCGCTCACCAGCTAGCCCGGGAGACACCCGGACAAGGCCGGCGAGCAGCGGGCTGGAAGAAGGCAGCCGCCCAGGGTGGGGAGGAGGAGAGGGAAGGGGTGCGCCAGCCTAACGCCGCTCACCAGCTAGCCCGGGAGACACCCGGACAAGGCCGGCGAGCAGCGGGCTGGAAGAAGGCAGCCGCCCAGGGTGGGGAGGAGGAGAGGGAAGGGGTGCGCCAGCCTAACGCCGCTCGCCAGCTAGCCCGGGAGATACCCGCACAAGGCCGGCGAGCAGCGGGCTGGAAGAAGGTGTGGGTGGGGAGGAGGAGAGGGAAGGGGTGCGCCAGCCTAACGCCGCTCGCCAGCTAGCCCGGGAGATACCCGCACAAGGCCGGCGAGCAGCGGGCTGGAAGAAGGTGTGGGTGGGGAGGAGGAGAGGGAAGGGGCGCGCCAGCCACCGTCAGTGAGCCAACCCCGCACTCCCGGTCTCCTTGGCGGGCGAGGAGGGGGTCTCTGGTGCACTGCCGCCCCCGTCCAGCCCCTGCCACCCTGATCCCAGTCCCCGGCGGGCGCCTCCTCCTTTGCAGCGCCGCCCGCCGGAACTGCTCTCTGGCTCGGTGCCCCAGGGGTTGCTGCGCGCCGGAAATGGGGCCAGGCCCTTCACCCCTCCTTCCCTCCCTCCTCCCGAGGCGCCGATCAGCTGTTTGCTTTGCCATGATCCGTTCCCCAAGCAGGGAACCGATCATCGCAAAGCGAAATTTCCCCATAGGGAACATCGGAAAGCGATCACAAAAGCGATCGCAAAATCTTCATCGCAAAGCGATTTCATCGTTATACGATGCAATCGCTATGCGAGGCACCACTGTAAATCAAAATGACCAGGAAAAAATAGCTTCTCTGGATTTAGGTGGAAAAGAGATGGAGGTGGGTGTCATCAACATACCCAGCCCAAAGCTCTAGAAAACTGCTCCCAGCAGTTTCATAACAGTTAAAATTGCACTGGGGACCAGACTGAATCCAAGGGACCCTACAAGCCAACAATCACAGCACCAAACCAGAGTCCTCCAACAAAAGCTTCTGAAAAATCGCCCCTCAAGGAAGGGCCAGAACCACTGTAAGACAGTGCCTCTGCACAGAGGTAACCCTTCTCCATTTCCTTTTACACTGGAGACTCTATGGATTGAACCATAGTCTTTAAGGACATGGACTGTGTACCATACCAAAATCTTTCGCTTTTAACATGCTAAATCAGCAGGTCAGCCTGATACTGTGCATTCCATCCATAGTCTTAAGCAGGAATCTTGCTGAACTGTGCTGCTACCTGAGATCCTTTCAGTGAACAGAGGAGGGATGTTAGGTTGAGATCTTCCGTATCAAAATAAGAGCTCACCTGAACAGAAGGCACTCACATTTTCATCAACTTGGAACCTAGCCACTGTCCGGTCATGATCTATGATATATGTCTGTCCATCCCAAGCACAAGCAATCACCTCCTCATGGCCATTGCCCTGGAAAAGTTCAACACTTACAATTAGGAGGAAATCCTATTAACTGTGAGAATTTTCCTTATTCATCTTGTCCCAGTAGTGAGAGTTTGTCACTAGAGCCAAATCAGAAAGGTTAATTAAAAAAAAACTGGAATCAAAGCTACAAATGCAAGAAGCCAATGTAAGTTGCAAAGCATATGAGAGAGCAGAGAAAGCAACTTAACTCAAAGTTAAATTAGGACCATCCACTGGGCTCTTCTGCTGTCTAAAAATTACAGGAAGATAGTTCAGGAGTGTTTTATATGTTAATAGTATTAAAATGAAGAAAGTATCATTTTGATCCATGACCGGTTAAAAGTCCTGATGAAGATGCTCTGAGCTTTCCTAAGCAGCAGTGCAATGTAAGTGAAACAATTTGCTCAGAAATTAGCCATCAAGGTAAAAGAAACGCGGTCTGCTTGCAGATTTTTTTTTCAGATTGCTAGGCACATGCTGCTGAAACGCTTCTTTTTCAACCTTCCCTTGCCCGTGCTTCCTCTGGTCATTCAGCACATCCAAACAGCAGCACTGCTTTCTCTGCTGACCATTAGGACATCATTTAATTGTCCCCCAAATGTAGGGAGAAAAAAAGGGAATGGGACAGAAGCTGTAACTGTGACGCCTATCTCCTCAGAAGAAAGCACACCAGCAGCATGTGCCTGGAGAAGTCTCTCTAGAAGCAAACATATGTTTTATTCTTAAAATGTTGCTGTGTTTAGCATGAAAGATGCTCCTCTCTCATCTAAGAAGGGAGCTGGATGCAACTACCAATATAAACGATTGTAACCAGGAGCAGAACTCACAGTGACATCCAGCTTTGATAGAGCAAAAAGTTGGTGGTCAACTTGCACTGACCATAGCAGCTTGTCTGCACCCTCCATGAGCTTCAGTGTCCCTACAGGAGAGAAAAAAAAATAAATTAAAGAGTTTTCCATGTGAACTGCCAGAGGATTCATGTTTGGGAGGTTATTATAGTAGATTCTCATCACACTGTCTCAACTTATATCTGGCCTTACTTATCCAGTAGAATGCACCCTTGGAGAGAGGAAGATGCTCAATGGAAAAGCCTATGATACCCTGCTCTACCTCCAGTTCCCATAATGAGGTCCCAGAAAATTCTGAGGAACTTCTGAGCCAGTGTTTCTGGTAGTTTTTGTCTAAATTACATCTCACATCATCCAGGCAAGATGGCGGNGGGGGGGGAGGCGCGGAGAGGGCATATTTTAATTGGTTCTAGGGTTCAGGTGTGTCCAGCAAGCCCATTACCAAGAGGAAAATGTTTGAAATGAGATTGTAGATTATGCTTGAGGATATATATGCATGCATATAGACTATCCTTATCTTGGAGTCTATGGGACACATTCCAAACAACAAGCTACGCAACAAGCTACTTCCTCTTATTTGTCAATCCCCCTGGAATGCCAAGTGGCATTGTTGGGGCAAAAGATAGATCCTGCAAATCAACAGAACCTAATCATCCTTTGTGTCTTTGTAGAGTTCCTTCTATCTTTTGCACAAACATAGTAAAGCTGGATAGCTATTCTACTTCCAGAGCTTTCTTCATCAACCTTAGCACGTGTTTCTGATGCTTGGACTTAGCCCATGTGATCACAATGAAGTGAATTAATAAAATGAAAGTAATAATACAGTGTGTGTGCAGAATACTGTGCCTTAACCTTAAAGTTGCATGATCAGGTCTAGGTCCAAAGGAACAGAACAGCATTGTGTATATCCTAGGGTTAATGATCTGTATAGAATCTCTTAAGAGTATTTCTCAGAAACTGTGCAGGCAGGCAGTCATCATTCCTTAGTGACATACTGGCCCCACTTCACACTACTCCGCTGCATTTCACACAGAAATTCAAAAAGGTGCAGGAGTACCAAAGGGAGGTGGTGGTAGGAAAATCTTATTTTCATCTTAACATCAAACTGTAGTTTTGAGTTCTAGGAAAATGTAATTTCCATGCCACTAACAGGCTAGTTATGGGATAGTTAATTTCCTCCATCAACTTAATCATAATCTTATCTGTCATATGAAAAGCTATTTTGAACTAATGTCTCAACTGCAATCCAGACAATTCTTCCCTTTGTATTATCCCCAAGTAATTAGCACCCTTACCATCCAAAGTACAAAGTGCAAAGAGACCTGAGCCATCGTATTCCTTGGCAGATCCTGCAGAGATGGAGTCCAAGAGGGAAGAGTTGGGAAGGAGCAAAGTTAAAGTTAAACAGTCAGCACAGTCCTTCTGCACTACATTCAGTTATGACTTCGCAAGTGTTTTCCAACTGAACTCACTGCAAGGGGTGAGCTACAGAACTGTGTAGAATCTTCCCTGAAAATGTCTGGATGTGTTTAACTTAGAAAGAAAAAGATTAAATTAAATATAAAAATAAAGAAAAAAAACTGCAGATCATTGGTTAAGGGTGTGATACAACTTTCTACAATTATGCCAAAGTGTTTAGAAAAGAGATGAGGGGGAGAAATCCCCACTCCCATATTACTAAAACCTAGGTTGACTAAATTCTTTTTAAAACCTTTGGTTTATGGATGTGGAATATTATGCTTCTGTTTCCACAATTCAAAACACCAGGAAATGGCCCAATATTTTGCCATCAAGAAAAAGGATGCCAAGCTTTACATAGCAAAGGCCAGTCTGAAATTTGACAATACCAATGGCAACAGTCAAGATGGTCTACAGCAGTGGTCCCCAACCTTTTCCGAACCGTGGACCGGTTGGGGGGGCAGGGTCCGTGAACGGGTAGGTGGAGCACCTGTGTGTCTGTGCAGGTGGGCAGGGCACCTGTGTGCACATGTATGAGCAGGGCACCGATGGGTGCATGGGGGGGGCGTACATGCGTGGGACAGGAGAGATGTCTCCGCGGCCTGGTCCTGCCAAGGCCACAGACCGGGGGTTGGGGGCCCTGGGTCTACAGGATACCTTGTGCACTCACTACTGTTCACAAAGTGACACCACCACAAGAGACATTCCCAGAACCTGACTCTTTCTCATCAGTTAACCACTTCTCAGCCAAACACAAAGCAATATTCATGGCTATTTTTCAACAAGTTTAAATGTTGAAAAACATTTAAACTTGTCGATTAATTTTTTGTTTGGGTTCCCCGTGATTGTAGAATCAACTTGTAAAATGTTGATTTAATCTGTTGCATAATATCATCAGAACAAGTTTCAAAACAAGCAGAAGGAAGTACTTCATACTGCACCCAGATGATATTCAATTAAATATTCCTCTGTATGTTGTTGAATTTGCAACTCCCATCAGTCCTAGTCAGCACAGCAGATGGCAAGCAATGCTCATAATCATTAAAATCAAGGGACATTTTTACCACTTGGCATTCTGTATGTGTCCTTCAGGCAAAATAAAATTGTCAGGACAAGGCTACAAACCAAACAGACAGAGCTGGGCATGGCGTAGAATAAGAACAGGAAAGAAGTGGCTTTGTAAGAAAGCAGGTTTGGAAATATGAACTAAAAGGCAAGAAACATTCCAGAAAAAATCTTTTTCTACTCTCAAGCTGTAGAGGCAAATACTAAGACTGGACCACAGTAGAACAGACAGGTTTTATTTCACCTGTCTATGAAACTATTTTATTTCCTCACCGTTGCCAAACCCAGCATTTCTGCCACCTACCTCTGCCAATGCTGCCAATAAGGTGAGTGGAAACATTCTTGTTGTGAATTCTACCTGATGTTTGGTGGAGAATGACATCCCGGACGGGTGCTTCCCTAAAAGAAAGGAAAATCTGTGCAAGACTGTGGCAACAGCAATGCCCTAGAGTCTGCCTGCAGTTTTTATGATGCTGGTAGTGGGTTGTAAGAGGAATGTGGTGGACTGGAAGATCCTGCAGAACGGCCAGATGCAGAAGAAAACAAGGCTACCGCACTTCTAACAACTGTAGAGTTTTGGAAGTTGTAACTAGTCTTTGTGAAAGTAGCCTGACAAAGGCAATGGTGGTAATTGTTAATGGATAATCTTTCTTTCACCCCCACCTGATATCTGTTATCTTCCCATATGAGACTGGTCCAGTTCTGAGACTGTTTGAGAAAAGGCCTTTCTTTCTTTCAGTCCACCCACCCTCAGAGAGACATTTGACAGCATAAAAGAAGGTCCTTCTAATGGCCATTCCTAGGACCTGGAACTCCCTGCAAAGGAAACCTAGGAGGGGCACACGTGACAAATTCCTCCTTCCCACTCTGTCCTTTTTAAAAACATAGCCACTGAAGTTGAGAATTATTACAAAGTAAGAAATCACAGCACAAAACCCTTTCTTAACCTACATGATTTACTTCATTAATAACTAATTTACATATTCTGCAGATCAGACCACCTGGACTTAGGAAAATGGAATAAAACATAACAACCATACTTGCTGGTTGCTATATTCTATTAGAAAATGGAGGGAAAAAGTGAAAGGAGCTGTTATCTTTGACCTGATCGTAAGCAATAACTATCGATAATATTAAAGCAGTGGGAAGGGACAGGGAACATTAAACATTACGGTGGAATGTTTGATCTTATGGAAAGCTAAGAGTAGTAAAGCCTGCATCTTAGATTTCAGGAAAGCTGTCATTTGTTTTGTTTTATAAGACCAGATAAATGCTTCATAGAACTCCACAGCCAGATATACTAGTGTGGAAAGGATCCTAAGATTGACAGAACTCTTAAGGATGAAGTTATTAAAAGTAGTGATTGCCTAAAATCCCAATGAGAAAAGATAACGGAAGACATAAAAAAATTAACATGGATGCACAAAAAGCTTAATAACTTGAAAATAAAAACAGAAATACATAAGAAATCATATTTAAAAGGATCATCAAGGATTAGTACAAATGAATCACTCAGACTTGTATGGATCCTATCAGGAAAGCTGAGTTCAGAATTTTTCTTAGTTCCCCAGAATACACTAAGCAGCACAACCTTGCAGTCTAGTGAGACAGACTACATACCCAAAATGACCCTGAACACTTTGCTTCAGAGGGACTGAGCAACGGAGCATGCCTACCATATGTGGGAATAAGAGTTCTTCCACTTTTACGCTCTTCAGCATATTAATTATATGCCCAGTGTTGCATTTTAAGAGAACTCTTTCTAATGCAAATGTAAACTGGTTCTGCACATTTTTGCTATATTGCTGTCCGTCACAGAACATTCATCTTTTCATTATACCATTTAAAATCTTCTAAGAAATCAACAGACTTCTTCTTGGCCTCTAAATTATAAATGAAACACACGTCTTGATGGATCTGTAATCTGCTGAGTGGGGTACTCTGGAAGCACTCTTGCAGCTCCAAAACATTAATCATGTATTGATATTATCAGGCTGTATCTGTCTGCCCAACTGGATTCTGCCAGTCTTACCTGCTAGTTGTAGAGCTGTCTTTTCTTTCTGGTGAAGGCTGGTGTTCTGTTTTCCAAGTACAGAGTAAGACTGCATAACCACAACCAGGCTGGGACACCATCAGCTCAGGAGCACAGTCAGAACCTGGATTCACTGACAAGCTATCCACCTGTTGCAGCCAAAAGAGAGAAAGTGAAACTGTTCAGTCAATTGAAAGTATTGCTTACTTTTGGATGGTAAACTGACTACTGTTGTTGTCCCCATCCATCTTCTTCAAGTATCTCATCCCATTTCCTCATTGCTATATTACCAACTGTTATCCTTCTTCTCCACCAAATAATCAATCTCTTCCTTCAATGAGCATCTGGCTCCTTTCCTACTGTGTTCAAACATGCAAGAGTGCCTCATTTTTAAAAACACATCCCATGACACAGGTTCCCTTGCCAACTACCACCCTATGTCCTTTCAAAACTTCATCTTCCAAGTCTTAGGGTATTCTGGTTACTCCTACTGTCTGAACTTTCTCTTCTCCTACTTCACTTTCAACCTTCTACATTCTGGTTTCAAGCCCCTGCCGTGGCACTACCCTGTCAAGAAAAAGCCAAGAGGCTGACTATCTACATGAGTGTTTAACCTGCTGTTTGGTCCGCTGCAGGTACGGGCTGGTTTGCTCCTAAAAAGCTGGAGCAAACCAGTCTGTCCCCAGACTGGTCAGGGGCTTCTAATTTTTTGATGTGGATAGGATTGCACTGGCATGGTGGTGGATTCAGCTGCAAGTAGTTTCTTGACTCAACCTTTAAGACAAGGCAAAGAAAATATTTAGGGTCTTTAAAAAAATTTCATTTCCTCTTCCCCTCCACCAAGGAGCAGAGGAAGTGTTTAATTTGCATCCTGAAGTTGCTCTCTTATTATGCCACGTCATAATTTCAGAAATCCTCAGTTTTGGAAATTGCACTTCTATCTTACCAAAAGCAAGCAAGCAAGCTAACTAACTTATGATATTTAGCTTACACCACACCACTCCAAAAGAGCCTATGTAGACAAGCCCCTACTTTCTTCCTGAAGCTGAGGTTTGACATCTCAGTGTCACACCTAACCATTCCCTCTCTGCTGTGAAAGTCTACACTTTTTACCTGTTCCCCCTGCCAGGACTGCTCAGCCCTGCTTCTAGGTCCTCACCCTAAAGCTTGGATGGGGAGGGAATGCTTCCTCCTCTCAGTTCTTGCCTTTTTGCCTCCCAATTCCACCCTTCTGCTCTCCCTCAGAGCACCTCCTCCCCTGAAGTGAGTCGCCTGGTCTCCTCATAACAAAATCAAAAGGATTGCATTTATTCTTCTATACTGCATGCAACCTCACCCACAGCTTGTTTTGTACCCCCCAATAACAATTTTTTTAAAAAAAGGAGTTCATGCTCCTGGAAGCCTCCAGAGCCATGGTTCTCCTTCTAAATAGGCTGCTGGCTCTCAAAATATAATTGTTCAAAAATAAATGTGAATTTCTGGCTCCTCCAGTTTTGTGTTGTGTTTTGTTTACATTTATGATGGTCGTATTGCTCCTAGGGTATCCTAAGGCACATAACTGTAGTTAAATCTTGTTTAAAACATTTCCACTCTCTTTGATATAGTTGATACTCTTCACTATTTGATTCCCTTTGTGTCCTAAGTCTTTGTGGTTTTGTTAACCAAGCTGAAACCTGGTGGGATGAGATTCATGATTGGAAGGTATAAACTATTTCAGAGAAAAAGACCTAGTAAAAAAGGTGTCACTTTATATGTTAAGAGTGCTTATACTGGTGATGAAATCCAGGGTATAAATCTAGGAAAGCCAGGTTGATAGCATCTGGGTAAGAATTAAAGGGGAGAAAACTGTGAGTGGCCCCCAAGCCACTCTGAGGAGCTGGATGAAGCCTTCCTGGAGCAGATAGCCACACATTCAAAAGGGAGAGATGCAGTAGTAATGGGAGATTTCAACTATCCTGATATATGTTGGCAGTTAAACTCTGCCAAGAACACAAGGTCCAACAAATTCCTTACGGGCCTTGCAGACAATTTCATGGTCCAGAAGGTGGAAGAGGCAACAAGGGGAACAGCTATTTTAGATCTGATCTTAACCAACAGGGAGGACCTTGTTAATGGGGTCAAAGTGATGGGAGCCTTAGGTGGGAGTGACCACGCTCTCTTGGAATTTGTTATTCAGTGGGAAGGGAAAGCCAGGTGCAGCCAGACACGCATTCTAGACTTTAAGAAGGGCAATTTCAGTAAACATAGGGAATTACTGGCTGTAATTCCATGGACAAAGATACTGAAAGAGGAGTTCAGGATGGATGTGAATTTCTTAAAAGGGAGATACTAAAGGCACAATCTAAAACTGTTCCAATAAGAAGGAAAAATGGGAGATGTCTAAAGAAACCAGAATGGTTGACTAAAGAACTTTCAACTCAGCTAAGTGTAAAAAAAAAGAATGTACTGTACAAGAAATGGAAAAATGTGGAAAGCGCCAAAGAGGAATACAAGCAAATAGCCAGTACATGTAGGGGGATGGTAAGAAAAGCTAAAGCACAGCACAAATTTAGGATTGTTAGAGAGATTAAAGATAATAAAAAGGGATTTTTTAGTTATGTCAGCAGTAAAAGGAAAAAGAAGGAAACAATAGGGTCTCTGTGTGGAGATGATGGCCAATTACTAACAGAGGACAGGGAAAAGGCAGAACTACTCAACACCTTCTTTGCCACATTTTTTTTCCAAAAAGGAAAATAGTGCTCAACCTGAGGGATGAAGAGCAGGTGAAGTAGTGTGGGAAATGCAGCACCAAATAGGCAGAGAAGTAGTACAGGATAGCCTGGCTACCTTGGATGAATTTAAGTCTCCTGGGCCAGACGAAGGATATTAAAAGAACTGGCAGATGTAATATCAAAACTATTGGCAATAATCTTTGAGAATTCTTGTAGAACAGGGGAAGTCCCCACAGATTGGAGGAGGGCAAATGTTGTCCCTATCTTCAAAAAAAGGGGGGGAAGAAGACCCAAATAATTATCACCCCATCAGTCTGACATCAGAATGGAAAGATTCTAGAGAAGATCATTAAGCAGGCCGTTTGTAAGTACTTAGAAAGCAATGCTGTCATTACTAGAAGTCAACATGGGTTTCTCAAAAATAAGTCATGCCAGACTAATTTCATCTCTTTTTGGGATAAAATTACAGGCCTCTTGGATGAAGGGAACACTGTGGATGTAGCATATCTTGATTTCACTAAGGCCTTCGACAAGATTCCTCACGATATTCTTGCAAAGAAGCTAGTAGAATGTGGGCTAGATGGTACTACTGTTAGGTGGATTTGTAATTAGTTGACTGACCGAACCCAAAGAGCGATCACAAATGGCTCCCCTTCATCCTGGAAAGAGGTGACGATAGGGGTGCCCCAGGGTTCTGTTCTGGGTCCCGTGTTATTCAACATGGGAATACAGAGTATGTTGATTAAATCTGCAGATGATACTAAATTGGCAGGTATTAATTCCCCAGAGGACAGGATTAAAATTCAAAATGACTTTGACAGATTAGAGTCCTGGGCCAAAACTAATAAAATTAATTTCATCAGGGAGAAATGTAAAGTCCTACAGCTAGGCAGAAAAAATGAACTGCACAGATATAGGATGGAAGACACCTCGCTAGGCAACAGTACCTGTGAAAGGGATCTAGGAGTCTTGGTAGACCACAAACTGAACATGAGTCAGCTGTGTGATGCGGCTGCCAAGAAAGCCAATGCAATTCTTGGTTGCATCAATAGGAGTATAGTGTCTAGATCAAGGGAAGTGATAGTACCACTCCATTCTGCTTTGGTCAGACCTCACCTGGAGTGTTGCGTGCAGTTCTGGACACCTCCATTCAAGAAGCATGTTGACAACCTGGAACGTGTCCAGAGGAGGGTGACTAAAATGGTTAAAGGTCTGGAAGCCATGTTTCTTTAAAATCTGACATGAGACCATTCAGAAATATGGATTAAGGCAGTCCTTTCTATACATTTCTCCTTCTGGTTTATGCCCTGAAGTCCTTGCTTTTGAAGTGTATTCTCTTAGGAGGACATCCACACACTTAACTTCCTACCTGTCCCTCCAGCAGCCACTTTTTGAGCAGCACCAGCTGTCCGGATATATGCTCTGTACTCTCAGATGAGTCCTCCCAACGAAAGGCTCGCACCACACGGTCTGTATAACCTACCACCAATTCACTCTTCCCATCTCCATCTGCAAGGAGTACAAGGTCAATAAGTACTTTTTATCTAACCATTATACTACACTGGTCTCTCAGATCAGTCCTTACTCTGTGAACAGTGCTAAGGCAGAAAAACAATGCAACAAGTGATGTGCTTGATTTGCATAATATGCTAACTGGGCTACCTAGATTGCGTGAACTGGGATATGGAAACACAAGACTCTGACTGAAGAGGACGGTAGCTGCCTTGAGGAGATCTTAGTTTTCTTTCTCATTGGTTTATGTCACTGTGACGGATGCCACATGTCACGCCTGTCACTCATAACTGGAGCTCATTTGCATAAGCCTATGAGAGGACAGGAGGGGTGGAGGCAGAGAGTCAGTTAAGTCAGTTAGAGAGGGAGAGGGAGTAAGAAGAGAAGGAGAGAGGTTTGCAGAGAGAGAGATAGTCAGAGAAAGCCTGAGATGATCAACTAATAAAGATCAACTGGTTAAAGTGGATAAATAAAACAGGAGGTGATTGAATGTGTGGCAGACTATATGATATTCATTTTGATTCTGTGAAATGAATAAAGAACATCAGTGCTCCTGAATTACCCTAAAATACCCTTTAATAAACCAGTTCTGTTGTTGGCAACCAGTATCAGCCTAAAGCCCTTTACAGCATGGATAAAGAAATCCACTGGTGGCAGCGAAAGAAAGAGGGAACGTCACCAGTGTGAGCCCTTTGGGTTGAGAAAAAGAAACTGGGGCACGGGGTGGACGTAACAGTCACCTGTCTCACAAACTCATACTGAATTTCCTACGGTCTGTAAAGCCTCTTCCACAATGTTACTCACCAATGTCATTGATCAGCATAACTTTGGTATTGGCGGGGATGTGCTGCTTGAATCCCAGCTTTTGGTCTTCTGCTGCCAGGACCTCATGGTAGCCTAAGGCATCTAGGTGTTTTGAGGGTGGTGTGAGGTCAAAGAGATGAAACCAACCTTCAGCACTCACTGCAACAACCAAGTTCTGCCAGAAAATGTTGAGGATCAACAAGAAGTGGTTAGATCAAGAAAACATGAATAATACATTGGCAGTAGTTACCACCTGGGAAGGATAAGAATCAATAGAGGAAAAGTATGAAGAATTAGAAAACTCTGGTGCAAGATCCTTGGGTTTTTCCCTCAGGCAGCCCCTCTGCTTCGGCGGGAAATAAGATAGGCTGAGTCTGTATAACGTTAACATTGGAACTTTTATTCAACTCCACTTCCACCAGCACATCTTTAAACGGGTTCAACTGTTTCAAGTTAGGCAACAAGCCATCTTCAACAACATTTAAACTTTGATCAAAGTCCCATGGGGTTACAGGCGGCGGACCCCACATGGTCCTCTCGGCTCCTTCTGAGGAGGTGGGAGACTCTTCATTGCGCATATGGTCCCACAACATTTATGTCTATACCACCCTCTTTCGTCGGGACCTTCGTGTTCTTCAGCTGTCAACCATTCACGTTTGCGCTGTAGCTCTAATTCCCTGGGCGCCACAATTACATTCCACTCCCTTATCAACTTACGCAGAGTAGACTCTGTCACACTTGGAGGATTGGGTAGCAGACCACCTTCTTTCAAATGGGGAAAATCTCTTAACAACCCCTGGGTGCGGACCTTTTCAAACGCCCTCCGTTTTTCCTCTCTTTTCTTTCTCTCATAGTCTTCCACTACTGAACTAAACCAAACTACCCCCTCCTCATTCTCATAACCCCCTCCAACTGTCACTTCAGACTCCTCCCACTCCTCGTCTGCCAAGCACACCTCTACTTTCACCTCCCCCTCTTTCTCTTCCGTCTCCTTTCCCTTTTCTTCTTCACTTTCGCCACTAACTCGTTGACTCTTTTTTCCATCCTCCTTTTCCATTTTTACTTCTGCGGACGGCACACTCTTATTTTCCGCACCTTCACATCTGGGCCAACTCTCCTCAATCCCCAGCAAAATGGGATAACAGGTATTATTCTCCTGGATTGTCTTCAATGTGAAATGCACTACTTTCCACAGTTCACAGAGTACATACGCAGTTCATTACTATGTGTTTGTTGCAGCCTATGATTTATGTAGTCCAAATTTCAAGCTTCAATCTTTATATACAGATTTGCATCCTGAAAGGTATCAGTCAGGAGTCAGTGGGTACTTCTGCTGGTGGAATAATGTCAGAGAGATCCCTCCCCTTGCAGCAGCACCTCTCCCTGCTAAACCCTATGGAGCTGGTTTCAGGAGGAACAAATAAATGCAATGAGAGGAGTAAAATGAAAATTCTACACACTAGTGAGTCCCTGCTAGAATGAAAATGGATGCAGATCTTTGTTTTGTAGCTGAGATTTATTAACAAGAGAAAAAAATCCAAAGAAATATATTAATAGGTCATGATACACGAAGATAAATCCTATGGAGCAGTGCAGTTTTTGTACTGAACATTTATAATGTATTGGCCTCTAAGGAAATTGCTCAGCCTCCCTACCTACACTTTGATCATTTGTTAAGTACACAGTACAGTATTTCACTGTGCACATGCAAATAATACCTACCTAATCTATTTCCTGAGCCAGCATCCTGTCCATTTTGTGTTGACAGGGCTAATGGAAAATGTGCTTTGTGTGCACATGCTTAGAACATATCCAGCAGGATGCTGAGATTCCAGGTCTAGGCATGAGGGGTATGTGTGTGGAAATCACATCTCATGCTGAAACCCACATAGGGGCATCAGCACTCCCCAATCCAGAGTCACCAATTCATTTCAGTTTTACTCCTGAATAGGCACTCCACTGTTCCCATTCAGTCATGCATTTTTTAAAACCATGTGACCTACCAGTAGCCTAACTGTCACACTCTCTGTTTCATCTGAGACAGTGACACATAGCAAGGTGGATGGGTTGGGAAAGGAGGGTTGTTTTTGCACTGCAATGTTTCCATTCTAACTTAAGAAAATCACCCGCCACCATCTCTACTCCCCGAATCCCCCACCTCTCCTGGAACTCGATACAGTGCTTTTCAGAAGCTTTGCTAGCCCTTTCCAAAGTGCAAGTGGGGTGGGGGAAGAGAAGAGGCAGCTCTATTGGGGGCCAAGTGTGGGACCTACTGCACAGGAGTCAGGCTACAAATATCAGTACACGTTGAGGATAAAGCCCCAGTTTAAATAACTGTCATTTTCTTCCAGTCCATATACTGATGCTCTACACACATAAATATCAGTATGTTGCATGGAATAAAATCCAACTGGTAGCTGGGGCATTGTTTAAGAATTTGGGTTTACATTCATTGCCTGCATTGAATTCTAGCTGACAACTGAAGTTTTTAAATGCAGCAATATAATTTCAAAGCTGATTTCAACCATTGGGACTTGTGTCTTTTTTCTCCTACTTGTGTTCAGCCCCTGCCTTAGAAATCCTACGAATGGCTCCCAAGGTTGCCAAGAGTTTCCTTTCTTGCCTAATGCTGAGCTCTCATATTCTGCTGCCAAATTGCTCAAATCTCATCACTACAAGCCAAACAATGCCACTCCTTGAGTCTTTTTATTTGTGACCAGGTTCTTGCACAAGCATTCCATTCTTTCCTTCAAGACCCTTCATGATCTTGTTCTCTTCTTTTATAACTTAGAAGATTTATGTGTGTAGACATAGCTTACCCTATTCTCCCACCCTCAGCTGTCCAAAAAATTCTCTCTAAAATTATTCCATAGGTTCCTCCCTTTGCTACAAACCATCCCCCTTAAAATGCCTCTGTGATACCTTCTCTTTTACTTCATCCAAACTTTCCCTGAAAATATTTGGTGCACCCTCCTAATCATGATTCCCTCTGGCAATTAAGCCAATAAACATGTAATAGGAATAGTCCCATGCTCTTTCTGGTCTACTCTTATTTCCATCCCTCCCCCTCCCCTGCCATTTCCCATCTCTTGGTGTTCTAGACCAGCAGTCCCCAAACTTTTTGGGGCTTCCCATCTCTTGGTGTTCTAGACCAGTAGTCCCCAAACTTTTTGGGGCCACGGATTGGCTAGGGGGAGCGAGCTCCATGCACGGGGGGACCCCCGTGTTCGCACAGCGGTCGTGTTGTGTTGTGCGGGGGGCATCATTCTCATGTGCATGCGCGCAAGAGTGGCACCCCCCATGCGAGTGCAACATGCCTGCCGCGAGCACAACACGTCCACTGTGCGAGCGTGCAGGGAGGCGGAGATCCATATCCGTGGCCCAGTTTCAGCAAGTCCACAGACTGGCACTGGGATGTGGGCCAGGGGTTGATGACCCAGGTTCTAGACTGCCAACCCCCACAATCTTCTAATTCTCTGACAAGTGCCACACACAAAACAAACAATAATAACTATTATTAGTCTCATCCTAAGCATGGCTAAATAAACTCCCAAGGACTTCAATGAAATTTATTTCACAAAAATCTGTTTCACAACAACTACTGTATATATAGAACGTCAGTTCTTATATTATCATTCCCCCATGTTAGGTCCTCACATGTTGTTAGACTTTATCATTTAGCTAGGCCAGTTGGGGAGAAGAGGAAATGCAGTGCAAAAAGCTAATTTATACTTAAGATTTTCACAACATCATGAAATATATCACCCCAGTGTCTGTTTTATAGGATATGAAAAATAACTTGTTTATCAATTTACTTATTGATTCACCCCGTACAGTGGTGCCTCACTTAGCGATGTTAATCCGTTTCGGAAAAAACATCGCTAAGTGATTTAATCGCTAAGCGATTTTTAAAAAGCCCATAGGAACATAATAAAACGCATTTAATACGTTCCTATGGGCTAAAAACTTACCTTAAAGCAAAATTCCTCCATAGCAGCGGCCGTTTTGGGTGCCTCTACAGCAAGGCAAAACAGCGGCAGCCATTTTGAAACCGCCGATCAGCTGTTTAAAAAAGTGTGCTTTGCCATGATCGCTCCCCCGCCATCATCGCAAAGTGAATTTTAGCCATAGAGGACATTGCTAAGCGATCGCTCCAGCGATGGCCAAAAGTCCATCGCAAAGCGATTTCATCGCTCAACGGAGCGATCGCTAAGCGAGGCACCACTGTATTCTGCGTTTCACCCATCACTAGAGAAAGAGATTGGAGTCATTTTATATAGTATTAAGAACACATTGCATACAAATGCAACTGTAGAATCTTTTTTAAAAAAAGCATTTACCTTTCCTTTATTGCACACATCCCCAACACCAACACAGGTAAGCTGAAATAAGATAATATTTTATTAGTCTAACAATTTTTAAAATCTGACTAAACAATAAGAAGCAAGGAAAGGGAGGTTAAAATGGAAAAAGAAGTGTAAATCAAAATAAATGAAATATGGCTCAAATGATGTAACCTTATTCTCTTTGGAAGGCAGTCCTGTGCCCTTTTTTCAGTTACTTTTCTCTATAACTTTTCAGAAGTTAGTGCAATCTTTCCAAAGATTGGAAATTTACTGTCTTGGCATACAAAAAAATCAGGAAGTCTCAGAACCATATAATCTATAGATGGCTATACACTAGACTGGTGTAGTTGACTGGATTTCAGATGTTCTCACTTCTGGGGTCTTTTTTCAAACAGATGAGTTTGCCAATAAACATGTATGTGTTGCAGAGGACACGTCACATCATGCCACTCTGTTCACGAAGACATTTCACAAAAGGGATAGTGAGCACACATATTTGAGCCTTAACCAGCAACATATGTGTACACAAATTCCAGAAATCCTTAAACTAGGCAGTACTGTAATGTCATTTATACAAAATGTTGCAGCTACATATAAAATACTATGTGGAGTTCTACTTAGCATAGCTCAAAGCAATCAAAGATGGAAAACATTAAAACATTACATATTTAGAACACAACACACAGGATCCCACAGCAATGCTAGTTGTTGTACACCAAAACAGCAAGTTTCCAATCTTTGGAAAGATTCTAGCAAATTCTGAAAAAGCACAGAGAAAAGTAACTGAAATAAAAAAGGAGACAGACTACCTTCCAAAGAGATCAAGGTTATAGCATTTCAGCCTTTCAGTTTTACAGTATCTAGAGGGCACATGACATAGATCTATAAAACAATGCATGCATTTCAGAAAACAGATATCCTTCCTTTGTGATTTGTGATTGTAGTGTATAACTGTCTGGCAACAGATTCATGACAGGCAGAAGAAAGTGCATCTTCACATTATAATTTATTTTAATGAATTTGCTGCCATCAAGATGTGGTGACAGCCATTTCCAAGTTTCAGCTTATAAGGGGTCTTGAGAAATGGAGGGCAGATCTCTCAACAGCTGTTAGCCACGATAGTGCAATGGAACCTCAAGGTCAGCAATGGCAAACGTATGGTACATGTGCCACAGCTGGCATGCAGAGCCTGCTCTGTGGGCATGTAAGCCATAAGTTGCCATCAAGAAATACCTGTCCTCCAATCCCAGATTTCGGGAAGGGAGGGAGAGCCAAGAGACGGCAATGGTCGCCACCGCCAGAAACACACACATACGTACACACCTGCCCAGACGCCAGGCATGGAAACACTGGCTCCTGCTGCCTGCACCGCTAAGGATTGCAGCTGGAGGCAGAGCGGGAAGTATCCCAGGCAGGCACTGGGGGTTGTGTGGCTGGAGGAGTGGGACTCTTCATAACAGTCGTGGTTGATTTTGTGTTGCAGTTTGGGCACTTGGGCTCAAAAAGGTTCGTAATCAATGATCTAGGTTTAGAGACAAATGATCTCAGAGTATCAGTTGCTGAGGAGCTAAGACTTCAAGCAAGCTTCCTTTCTTTAAGCCCTGCTTCTGAGCTTTCCGGAGGAACTGTGAGTGGCAACTTTTGAAACAGAATGCCACAGCATATCTGATCCGATCCAATCTGATCCACTGCGGTCTATGCAATGCACAGAATCTAAGCACAAGAGACTACAGGACCATAAATTTCAACTCACCATTCCTTGGCAAGAGCGTACAATCCAAGGCTTACTTTCATCGTTCTTGTACACAAACAGCTTCCCACTGGTATCTCCAACCACCAGCTCATTCAGCTGGAGAAGAAAAGGAAAGCACAGCAAGAGTAATTTTTAAAATTTTCTCTGTAGTTTCACCTCATCTCACTTACACTCAAGCAAACACAAACACACACAATGTCAGTGAAGACTGTACCTATGGGCAGTATAAGGACAAGCAAAAAAAGTGAAACAGGTAGTGCCCTGTTAAGCCATTGGTAAGACACCTGCATGTGCTCAGAAACTTTGCTAGGCAATTCAGTGTTACGGTAGGCTATGATACTTCCCTATTTTCTTGTGCAGATTATCTTTGTACCAATTGTTTTACCTGAATTGGATTATAATTCCTTTTATGCTTTTCTAACCTGATTTATTATCTTTGTTTCTTTTTTAAGAAATACTAAATCACCACCTGGTATGTGTAACAGCCACCTTATACCTCACAAAGGGGCAGTTACGTCACACTCAATCACTCTTCGTTTCCACTGCCATCAACCATTCCCTCAAATAAAGCTTCAGGCCAAAGTATGATTTCAAAATAAAAACTTAGGTTTATTGTATACAAACAAAAGGAATGGTAAATCACTTGAATATAAATAATAAATCAATCACTATAATAATATAGCAATCACACACACTCTCTCACAGACCCTCACTATATAGCACAGTTCTTATCTCACAGTATCTCCAAGCCCTATCTCCCTATCTCAACCCTATCTCAAAGCCCTAACTGGCCCTATCTCCAAGCCCTATCTGAAACCCTCACACCATTCACTCCCCTTATATACAACAGCTCCACCCCTTATGTCCCACCCTCCGTCACACCATTGGTAGATGACACACAGCTTCAGCAGTGACAGGCAGGTGATGTCATAGCTGTATGTAACAATACCTCCCCCCTTTAAAAGTTGTTTTGTGGGGGAAAGCTAAGGTGCTTTTCACCCAAAACAACTGGAAACAAAATCAAACATTATATTTTCCCCACATTTCAACACTTACCATTAACATATTAGGCACATTCTGACATAACTATATTATTCAAAATATACTTACACTTAAACAATCAATTGCATATATATATACAGCACAATATTCCAATAACCACAATTTTTCATAACTTATTAAACACAGTTATTAATTTCAAGAGTCCAATTTTTTTCATCTGTTGTCGTCTGGTCTTCGGGATAAGGCGTCAGCAACACAGTTCATAGTCCCTTTGAC